TCAACTTCCTGTCTGGTCCGTGTATCATCCGTTCATTTGATTATTCCTTTTATTACGGAAAACGAAACATCAGAAAAACGATGAATATTTCGTTTTTCTGTTTATTCTGTAGGCAGAAAAAACGGAAACTCATCTGTTATTCTGCTTATTAACTTAAAACGAAATATTAAAACAAACACAAAACCAAAACGAAATAATGAGTCAAAAAATGGTCCGTGTACGGTCCGTGTACGTTTTGTTCATTTGTTTTCCATTTTCAAACGGAATAAAGGAAATGGAGAAAACGGCCGTTTTTCCGTTTTTCTTTTGCTCACGAAAAAACGAGATTTTGGCTGGATTTTCGTTTTTTGGTTTAGGGTAGGAAAACGGATAAACGACTTTAAAATTCATTTTACACATGTAGGCGGTGCTGAAACGCCCACTTTCCTCTAATTGGTCAACCAAATCTGCGCTCGTGACGTCACCCTCAAAATAAAAGCCTTACACGCAGGCTTTTAATTATTATTATTTAATTATATATTAACTAAGTTTACATATTCTATCATTTGAACCACACACAGTTAGCAGGCTTACATTCATTGCGTATGTATGAATTAAATAAAAACGTAAATCAGCAGTATTCTTAGACATTTGTCATTAAAATAAGGTCATAGTTCACTGCCAAGCTTCTTGCTGCTGTGCACCTGATGCTGAGCAAAGAAAGCCATTTCCGAGGAACACCTGGTTTACATGATTGTTTTAGAGCTATTGTAGGCCTAAATAATAGCCTACTCTGTATAAAATAATAATTTATTATTATTTTTATTATTATTATTTTTATTATTATTATCAATATTATTAGGCCTATTATTATTAGTATTGTTATTATTATTATTTACTTAGTTATTCAATGGTTGTAAGAACACATTGGACCCTAATAAATGGTACCATTTGTTTCTATTGGATTTTCTCCTATTTTAATTTAATCTATGCCTTTAGCCTATTGTAAATATTTATTTGATAATTAATACTTTTTTATTACAACGTCAAAGTAGGCCTGTCTTATTATTATTATTTTTTGTTATTATTTTGTCGTTGTTGTTGTTATCATTATTGTAGCAGGGACATAGCCACAGGTGTGGCAGAGTGTGCTGGTGCCACCCAAAGTGGCATCTTGCACCTGAAAATAGATGCCTTCGCGCTCAAGCGCGCAAAAAACTTACACAGGCAAAAGTAATGATGAATGTGTTGAAGGAAAAAAAACATTCTAATTATTTGTTAATAAAATAGTGCAACATTATTCTCAGTCAGTGTAGGCTGAAAAAATTAAGATCGCCAGCATTTCAAGGGTGGTTTTGTTTTTAGTTCATTGCTGTGACGCGCTATATTTCACTAAGGCTGCATGAGACTGCGCATCTTGCTTATTTTCTCTATTTTACATACAGAACATATCATACAGTTCAGGTTCTACCGTTCTAGTGAGTGTGGGGCATTGCCTTACAGTGGTAAAGTGGATTATTTCTTGGCAAATTCATAATGATTCACTTTGTTTAGTAATAAATTTCATAGTTATAAAATAACTACATTTCAAGAATATGTTAACACTTTCAACTATTTAGGATTATTTATTGCATCAAAAGTAATTTCAAAAGTAACATTAAATGTACGTATAAACTGCTTAATTTGTGTGTGTAAACACCAAAGATGCAAAAATTTTAGACCAGAATAGGCCTACTAAATGCAACGGTCAATGTATGTAAACTTATGACCTAAAATGTCTTAAATGACTAAATTTAAGTCTTTTTAAGTTTTTAAATAATTTAAGTTTAACATAAATGATTTAAACTTTAAACTTCAAATTAACAGAGTATGGCAAATAAATTGTTTATTAAATGGAGGTCAGGTGTCTATCTTAATTATAATTATTAAATATTATGACACTATAATTCAGTGGTGTATTGGAGACGACGCACCTTTTAATTAATTAATTTTAAATAAGTGGTTTATCCTAAATTAAATGCAATGGGATCGGTGTGCAATGAATAGTTTGAAAACCCCTGGTTCAGACTAGACAAGCTAGCTGTCTGTGCGCTGCGCTAATAACTTGGCATTTGCTCTTTTCGGTGCTGCCAGATGCATTTATAGTGCATAAAAAATAAAAAAAGGTAATTCGGTAAAGCGCGCGATGCGCGCAGAAATAAGCGCACTATATGCATATGTCGAATTAAGTTCTCTTTTTCTTTAATCAAGACTTTTCCATTCGAGGAGTTTTATTAATAGCTTAGTCCTTATAAACGATCAGTTTATAAAATACACAATTTACGGATCAAGCCTAATGAAGAATAAGAAGAATATGCAACGCATTATGATCCTTGAATGATCAGAGCGCATTTATATAAACTATATATTTTATATAATCCATAAATATTAAAAAACATTATACATTTAAAGTAATGGAACATTATATGTTATAAAATCTAAACTATTATTTAGGCTACAGGCTAAATAAAGGCGCCTTTTCGGGGCTGTTCATCGCGTGCGTCAAAGAAAAGACATGACACAATCTCTATAAAAACTTGTTGTTTATTTACAATATCTAAAGGGATATAAAACATCTAACATGCATCTCCATTCTCAACGAGTTTCTGTGTTCTGCATCCTTCACAGACCGAGGTCTCATTCCGAGGTAATCTGTAAATATTCTCATTTGGTTCTGGCACATTCTTGATTAAAAGTGAAACTGACCGGTGCAACGGATGATTTGTCATAGGGTGACTACAGTTATAATACAGGTTATGGAACTATTTCACTTTAATTTCATATTATTATTTTATTAAACAAACAAACCAGTTTTTGTTTTGGCTCTGCATGCAGCGTATTGGATCTTTCAAGCATTGCACTTCAAATGTTATTCCTTTTTTTATTGTATTTTTAATATTTTTAATTATACAACACAAAATTGGTTCTAAACAGATACATTTTCCTATAGGCTATGATGAAGTGTATATTTTTGTTCACACAGGTCCTATACAAAACTGTGTGGATGGATGATTTGTTTCTCCGTGAAAGTCACTCATTTAATAAGCAAAACAGGCCAAAATGTTGTTTAGCTTGCGTCAAACTGGATGGACAATTTACAAACATATTGAATACAAAGACTGGTTATTTTATGCAATGAGGGACAATATAGGCCTATAACAAATTAAAGAAAATTATTTGCATATTAAAACGAAAATATATAATATAACAACAGATCCTACCTCGTAAGAAATGACTTTAGATAATGTAAATAAGCATCAAGTTTTTTTTTGAGATTGTGTGTCTAATTCAGTAGTGTAGTGCGTTCGCGTGGGTTTCCTCCGCGTGCTCCGGTTTTCCCCACAGTCCAAAGACATGCGGTACAGGTGAATTGGGTAGGCTAAATTGTCCGTACCGTATAAGTGTGTATGTGTGGATGTTTCCCAGAGATGGGTTGTGGCTGGAAGGGCATCCGCTGCGTAAAAACTTGCTAAATAAGTTGGCGGTTCATTCCGCTGTGGCGACCCCAGATTAATAAAGGGACTAAGCCGACAAGAAAATGAATGAATAATGTGCAATACTAATTTAAAATACGTATCACTAACCTTATATGTGAAATAGCAGGGCCCGCTGTAGCACTTTCTCAAGAAGAGCAAATGTCAAATTATTAGCGCAACGCACATGTAGCGAGCTCATCTGTTTGTCGGAACTACTAGACACAATTTTTTTATCAACTATCATGTGTTTAATTAGTTAATTAGAAATTTATTTCATTATTCCAGCAATAATTGTTGAGTGAAAGAATGCGCTAGAAATATGCATTGCGGCTCCCTTTATTGTACAGGCTTATTGCACTTAAACTTTTTTTAGGTTCGGCTCTCGAATTAGTAAGGTTATGAGTAAATGTTATTTAAAATATTTAAAGCCTGCCATCTAGCCTACAATAACAGCAAATTTAATAATAAAAAAATAATAAGACAGGCCTACTTTGGCGTTGCAATAAAATAGTATTAATTATCAAATAAATAATTACAATATATAATTAAAATAGGAAGAAATAAATGAAAACAAATGGTACCCTTTGTTTTTATAGCAGGGCCCAAAGTGTTCTTATTCTGGTTCTGCTAACAACTATTAAAAAGAAAAAAAAAACACACCAAACAATAAAAACACTAGTAACTGATAATAATAATAATAATAATAATAATAATAATAAAAATAATAATAAATTATTATTTTATACAGAGTAGGCTATTATTTAGGCCTACAATAGCTCTAAAACAATCATGTAAACCAGGTGTTCCTCGGAAATGGCTTTCTTTGCTCAGCATCAGGTGCACAGCAGCAAGAAGCTTGGCAGTGAACTATGACCTTATTTTAATGACAAATGTCTAAGAATACTGCTGATTTACGTTTTTATTTAATTCATACATACGCAATGGATGTAAGCCTGCTGTGTGTGGTTCAAATGATAGACTATGTAAACTTAGTTAATATATAATTAAATAATAATAATTAAAAGCCTGCGTGTAAGGCTTTTATTTTGAGGGTGACGTCACGAGCGCAGATTTGGTTGACCAATTAGAGGAAAGTGGGCGTTTCAGCACCGCCTACATGTGTAAAATGAATTTTAAAGTCGTTTATCCGTTTTCCTGCCCTAAACCAAAAAACGAAAATCCAGCCAAAATCTCGTTTTTTCGTGAGCAAAAGAAAAACGGAAAAACGGCCGTTTTCTCCATTTCCTTTATTCCGTTTGAAAATGGAAAACAAATGAACAAAACGTACACGGACCGTACACGGACCATTTTTTGACTCATTATTTCGTTTTGGTTTTGTGTTTGTTTTAATATTTCGTTTTAAGTTAATAAGCAGAATAACAGATGAGTTTCCGTTTTTTCTGCCTACAGAATAAACAGAAAAACGAAATATTCATGGTTTTTCTGATGTTTCGTTTTCCGTAATAAAAGGAATAATCAAATGAACGGATGATACACGGACCCTGTCTAAACTCCTGTTCAACAGGTTTAAGTGACGCCGTACGGGGGGCGTGGCGTCGCGCGTTCAGCGAGGAGACGCAGAGAACGTGAAGGAGCAGCTGGGAGCGGCGTGGACATGTGAGTACACCGAGCTGACACTTTCACAACTATTAAATTACTTCTGACGAGCAGTTTTTAGCGTGTATGCCATTGTAAACGTGCAACCGAGTTCGCAAAGGTTTACATTAAGGCACAAAGTTGACAGTTTCTGTTTCACCTCCTTTAACACTCTTTATAGAGTGCGGATAATACTGCTTAAATTAGTTCATGAAGCAAAACAATCAACGCTAGATAATAACATGACTAACGTTAGTTATGGTGTGTTTATTCATCTTAGCGATAATAATAATGCAATTATTCTGGTACTATTGTTGCTGTATTGTTGTTAGTTCGGGTCCAACAGATATTAACAGATATACAATTTAATTTTAACTATTATCTATGTAGTTTAGGATATTTATATCGTCATTTAATGTTAACTAAAAATCTCATTGGAATCATTTTGTCTCTCTCTCGCCATTCCTACAACCATAAACAAAAACTCTGATGTCTACTGTAATACATTTTTTAAAATTAAAATCATCACTAATTTATATATAGTTGGGTGCAAAATTATTAGTTGGCTCTCCTGTGAATATTTTATTATTTTTCAAATTTATTAAGTGCTGTTTTAATCACATTTTTTTAAAACACAATAGCTTTCATAACAAAATTATTTTGCTTTTGCCACGATAACGGTTAATAATATGCTACTAGTAAGATTTAAAGGATTAACTAAGTTAATTAGGTTAACTTGGCAAGTGAATAGTGCTTTGTTTTAGGGGCTAACAATGTTGACCTGAAGTTTAATTTAAAAAAAAAAAATTATTATTTTGCTAAACTATAAGAAATTAGACTTTATACAGAAGAAACGTATAATAGCAAATACTGTGGAAAAATGTTATTGTTCTGTTAAACACCACTTTGGATATACAGTGCTCAGCATAATATATGAGTACACCCTCACAAATTTCTAATTTAAGTTAATATTTAATGAGATAGGAAGCTTTACAGTATTATATTTGTGTATGAGCAATTTCATGCAAATGTCAACCTTGCCATGGGAAAAATCAAGTTTTCACCAAAAAACAGAAATAGTTTCTGGGTTTTTTTTTGTTTTGTTTTTTTGTTTTTTGTGAGCAACTATTTTACAGTACTTTAAAAATACTCAAAAATGTCTCTGTCAATGTTTTCAAACAATTGTATTTGATATACCAAAGTCACACAAGTGGCAATTTCACATCTGTCACATCCATAACGACACTTTTTCCTCATAAATTTGAAAATATCAAATAAAATAAAACCAATCATTTTTGTTCTATAGTGAGCCGACTCTTATCCTTTTGATTAGCATTGTTTCTTTTGGGTTGTGCAGTTTAATTCACAGAATTTCTACAAAGAATGTTGTATGCTGTAAACCTGCAGACTTTTTTCATCACATCCATAACGCATGTTTATTTTCCTCATTTAAATTACAAAACATGTCTACAGATTGATATTTTTCAGATCCCTTTACTTTGTGGTTAGTTGTTCTGCAAAATATAATCAGATGTTTCAATATAATGTAAAATTCACTTTCTATGCGAATTTATGTTTTGAGTTTTTACTGCAAATGTCACATCCATAACGCTGGGATTGCTCATATATAGGTTAAATTAGTCAGCACTAAATTCAACTCTGGAGCTAATCTAACAAAATAACTTATGATAATGGACCAAAATTACTACACCCAAATTTATGTTTGGGAAAAAAATGTAAATAAACAAAATTCAAAGAGCAAAATTCAAGAGAAACCAAATACTTCTAAAAGTTAGGTGACTTATCTTACTTAATATTAACGTTTAACTAAAATAACTTGCTTTAAAACGTGTTTACAAACCAGCCTAACAAGTTGTTCTTGTATGAGGCCTGTAACAATCCTGAAAATCTCAAAAGCACATCTGAGTGCATGTACAGAAACAAGCGTCTCCTTATGTTGTTTCAACAAGTGTACTGCTGAGGAATGGTTTGCAACACTTTTAAAATACAATTATAATCAGGGGCAAAGCAGTGGCGCAGTAGGTAGTGCTGTTGCTTCACAGCAAGAAGGTCGCTGGTTCGATCCTCAGCTCTGTTGCCTTTCTGTGCGGAGTTTGCACGTTCTCCATGTGTTTGCGTGGGTTTCCCCCACAGTCCAAAGACATGCGGTACAGGTGAATTGGGTAAACTAAATTGTCCGTAGTGTATGAGTGTGTGTGAATGTGTGTGTGGATGTTTCCCAGAGATGGGTTGCGGCTGAAAGGGCATCCGCTGCGTAAAAACATGCTGGATAAGTTGGCAGTTCATTCCGCTGTGGCGACCCCAGATTAATAAAGGTACTAAGCCGACAAGAAAATAAATGAATGAATTGTAATCATTTAATCCAGCGGTTCTCAAACTGTGGTAGGTGTACCTCTAGTGGTACACAGGCTTCCTTCTAGTGGTACACGGAGGAAGCGCTGAATAATTAAAGAAAAAAACATCATTTTAACCGTTTAACGTGTACGATAACACCACTGTGATCAGTAAACTGGTTTTAATAGGCTAACCTTTTATTTTAGATTTTCTAATGTATTCGCTCATTTGAAGATAATTTCCTCCCCATATTTGTAACGGTTGTTGGGAGCGTATGCCGTATTTATATATCCCAATGTTGACACGTGTAGTTTAATCACTTGCTTTTCTAACCCACAGTAAGCAGATCTTATTTCTCATTTAAATTTTTTAATCCAATTCGAATATTTAAAATACAAGTAAATGTTTAGATTTCAAAGATATACAAATAAGTCATATATACATGCAACTGAAGCAGGTCGCACACCAGAAGCGCCGCTCGGCGGCGCGCCGCGCAGCGCCATGTATTTTAGAATTCTAAACATAGGTTTCTATCAGGATACACACACCGGCGCCGCAAGTCGGCGGCTGTCGGCGGCGCCCGGCGACGGCTCAGGGCGCAGTTCATTTTTCAGCCGCGCCACAGAGCGCCATCTGATTAGTTTCATGTTAAATATCATTCGAATGTGCGCGTCTGGTGTGTGATACCTTAAACCGTCATGTACGCGCCGTGTCGCGGCGCCGAGCGGCGCCTCTGGTGTGCGACCTGCTTTATATTTCAAAATTTGTCAACAAGAGTTAATGAATGGGATGACAAAGTATAGCCTATATTTGTGAGGTCCAATTTCCAGAATTTAATGAATACGCTACTTCATGATAATACTTTACATTTAAGTACAACGGTGCCATTTTTAAACAACTTTAAAAAGCACATTTCAATAAAAAAAAAATCAGTTTTATTTATTTTTTTACACAAAAGCACACTACAGTGTTAATGTTCAAACTATTTATGATAGTTAAAGTGGCTGACAATAATAAATATTTATAATAATGGTAATTAATCTGCCTTGTTTTTGAACTGTGCAGAGCTTTAGCTGCTTAATTAAGCCTACTATACTACTGTATTTCAATACCGGTCATTATGCTGGTGCGTGAAGAGACTATTTTTTTTCTGAGGTGGTGCTCGGTGAAAAAAGTTTGAGAACCACTGATTTAATCCATTTGAAATGCTGTTTAAATTATGGTGATGGCCAAACATGATGTCTGGCAAAGGAAAAATGATTTATTTGCCCTTTTTTAAATATAATATGATGATCTGTTGTTTCAGATTTTCCAAGTATACGTGGTAGGAGATTGCTTTATGGCTCAGTTGTTTAATTTGTGGTAATGCATATTGAGGAATGGCTACGAATAAAATACAAGCCATAGTTTATTAATATAAATAGCTAACGAATATGAATAATTGTCGTTTCATTGTACACTTTTTTTCCTTTTAGCTTTTTTCACTTATTTATTTTTTAAAATAAAATTTAAACTCATATTTTTTAATGAACTTTTAATTAGTAAATACCTTAACCAAGTTTAATGTTTTTCTCTTCCCAATATAACATGCTTATTTATATTTTGATGATATTGTTAATCTTGTCGGGTCATTAAAAACAAATATTGTTCAAATGTCTTGTCTGGACATCATTTTTGGCCACTACTGGACTTAAAACTGGACTAAGATGCTTAAATGTTCTGACATTGTTCACTTTTGACTCTTTCTAGAGGTACTATATGCATTTGATCAGATCCGTTTTAAATACAGCACGTCTCTCACATACTTGGTTGAACAAATCAACCAAAATGCATCTTAATGAGCAGGGGGTCTTAGTTATAAAAGTAGTATTCACAAAATGGCAGCAGAAATGTGTCTGGTGCATATATAGAGAAAAGAGCGTTTTTACAGGTGGTTTGTCAAGCCCACTCAACTGCGTGAAGCACACTTCAGAAATGCACAATGTTTGTCAAGAGATATCGAGTTATTGTAAGAAAATACATATGTTTAAAAGATTTTAAATGATTTGGAATTTGAAAAATTAGTCTGTCTATTACTAAAACTTCTTATAATTGTAATTTTATGTGTACTGATGAATGAATGATGCTATTTGTTTTTTCGTTAAGCTCACACCAGCTGTGTGTACTGTTAAAGGGATTGTTCACCCAAACCTGCAAATTCTGTCATCATTTACTCACCATTCACTTGTTCCAAACCTGTTTGAGTTTCCTGTAACCTGTAACCATTGACTTCCATAGCAGGAAAAACAAATACAATGGAAGTCAATGGTTACAGATCTCCAACATTCTTAGAAATATATTTTTTGTGTTCAACAGAAAGAAATAAAACAAGAGAGGGTAAATGATGCAGAGTTTACTTTTTACCTAAATGTAAGCTTTGATTAGGTGACACTGGATGTATTTGTCAACTCTGCAAAACTAGAATACTTCTGTTGAACACAAAGGAAAATATTTTGAAGAGAGCTGAAAACCTGTAACCATTGACTTCCATAGTATGTATTTGTCCTACTATGGTTGCAGGTTTCTAATGTTCTTCAAAACATTTTCATTTGTGTTTAACAGAATAAAGTAACTAATGGTTTGGAGCCACTTAATTTTAAAATAGGCAGGTATTTTGGGTGAACTATCACTTTAATCTTATCCAAGACACTTTTATAAAATAGATTTTTTAAAAATCTCAGTTTGCTTCTTTCTTGGTAAAATAAATACTACAATGATAATGAATTCATTATTCAATTCAATTAAAAAACATTCAAATCTAGATTTAAAACACATCTGCTTTGCTGTGTCTAAAGTGAATGAGCACTGTGCTGCGTCTGACAGGTCACACTTTTTTTCTTTTCTTTTTTTATTCCTGTTTTAACACTTTTTAATGTTTTTTATATTTTTATTCTTTGTTGTTTTTATGCCTTATATTACAGGGTTTCTGCAGGTTTCACCAAGTCAAATTTAAGACTTTTAAAGACCTTTTTAAGACCATGAAGAAAACAATTTCAGACTTGTAAAGGGCCAAATGCTACAGACTTTTTAATGGCCCAACAGAATAAAAAAGTACTTGCCCCATCAAAAAAACTAATTCTAATCAGCTATTTCTTAGCTACATATTTTAAATCATGTCAAAAACAAGCAGACCCTACTTTTATACATACTCATTTTTTTTCAAGATAACTTCAAACAAAATCTTTCAAATCTAAATGTACACAAAAAAAAAAATATTTAAAGATTATTCCTTGGATTTACTCATTTTTATTTACATTAAGTGGTTGTAAACAATTTATTTGGCCTGAATTTAAACAAACAAATTAAGTTGAACATTATTAAACTTAATTTGTCTGTTAAAATTCAACACAAATAAATTGTTTGCAACAGTTCTGCATGCAACACTTTTTCAGTGATGCACAACAGACTGTTATAATATTAGTTATGAATAGAGTTTTTCTATAAGTTTATTGAGGTGTATTGTTGGTGATTGAATCGACTGGGTAGCTTTACATAAGCAAAGAAAAAATAAGACCCATTTAAAATGATTTACGACCTACAAGACAATATTTCAGTCAATTTAAGACATTTTAGACCCTGCAGATACTGCAGAAGCACTTTGAATTGCCATTGTTTATGAAATGTGCTCTATAAATAAACTTTATTCATTCATTTTTTTTGGCTTAGTGCTGTATTTATCAGGGGTCGCCACATTGGATTGGATTGCCAACTATTTTAGCATATGTTTTACGCAGCAGATGCTGCAACCCAGTACTGGGAAACACCCATACACTCTCACATTCACACACTCATACACTATGGCCAATTTTTGTTTACCCAATTCACCTAAACCGCATGTCTTTGGAGTGTGGGGGACACCCGCGCCAACATGGGGAGAACATTCAAACTCCACACAGAAACGGCAACTGGCACAGCCGGGATTTGAACCAGCGACCTTTGCTGTGAGGCGACAGTGCTAACCACTGAGCCACCGTGCTGCCCAAATAAATAAACTTGCCTTAATAATAATAATAAAAATAATAATAATAATACATGCTCTTGTCTTGTAATTCCAGGGAGGACGTTCTGCTGTGGGTTGTGGGTGTGCTGTTACTCCTGTTCTGCACTCTGGATGTGTGGTATTACCTGCGTGCCGTGTTGGTGGTGACCAAAGCCTGGTTCCTCTCACCTGTGTTTGACGTGACCGGAGAGCAGACAGCCAGCGGACGCGTGGTTCTCAATGATATAGACCTGTGCCACATGAACAACGCTCGATACCTACGCGAGTGCGACTTTGCCAGATTGTCTTTGTACACCCGTAATGGAGTCTTCAAGGCTTTGAGGGCACTCGGGGCCACAGCGGTGGTCGGAGCAACTACCATCCGCTACAGACGGCCGCTGTGTGTCGGCGAGGCGTTTGAGCTGCGCAGTCGAATCGTCAGCTGGGATGAGAAATCCTTTTATCTGGAGCAGCGCTTCGTGTCTTGTAAAGATGGGATGGTCTCGGCTGTTATGTTCTGCAAGCAGAATGTTCTGCGCAGCACTCCAGACAAGATCCTGCAATACCTGTGCAAGAGAAAGGTGAGCGGCTGTCAAACATTTATTACGTTGGACTGAAATATATATGGCTTATAGGGCTGCACAAATCCAAAATGTGTCATGATAATAGGCATGAGTCAGTATAAGACTCTGACGGTGCGATAACCTTCTTTTTTACACTCACCGGCCACTTAATTAGGTACATCTGTCCAACTGCTCGTTAACGCATATTTCTAATCTGCCTATTACTTGGCAGCAACTCGATGCATTTAGGCATGTAGACATGGTCAATACAATCTGCTGCAGATCTTAATCCAATAGAGCAGTTGTTCTATTATGGGGAGGTCGAGACCCCTCGAGGGGTCGCGGGATAATGAAGATGGGTCGCCTGGTGATTTTCAGAAATCTATTTATTTTTATTAAACCATAAGAATGACCATATTTTATCCATATCCTACTGATGAGAAAAAATAGACATTTTTAGTTACTCTATACGATATAGTTACTATAGTAGCTTTATAGTTACTAATTCTGTTGGATTGCGACCCCTGGGGTAATTACATTGTTTTAAAGACACAGCGATAGCGTCAGATGCAGCAGATTGATTTTGTAACACCAGGCATGGCTTTCTGGCCCATTTACAGCACTGACACACATAAAAAAATTAAACGAAGAATATACCTGGGTGTATTAGTGTGTGTGCGCCATTGCGTGCAAGGTTTCGGTATTTATAACCACCTCAGGATATTGGAAGTCGCGAGTCTCTGGCATTGTCATTTTGGGGGTCGCAGGCTGAAATGTTTGGGAACCTCTGCAATAGAGCTCCTTTGGCATGTGGTGGAATGGGAGAACAAATCTACAGCTGTGCGGTGCTATCATGTCAATATGGAGCAAAATCTCTGAGAGATATTTCCAGTACATTGTTGAATCTATGCCACAAAGGATTAAGGCAGTTCTGAAGGCAAAAGAGGGTTCAGCCTGGTGTACCTAATAAAGTGGCCGGTGAGTGTATATGACTGGGTAAAAAACTTTTTTTTCTGTACTGAATTTTTTAAGAATCTTTAAGTAGTTGCTGTTTGGTGAACCCAGAGCAGAAAATAAACATTGATGCTGGAAGATGAGTAGAATTTCCACCAAGGTTTTCAGTCAATTGTGGTGTTTAAATCTGAAACGTTTGCACCTTAACATATTTTTTTATTTATTTATTTTTTTTAGATTTAATTAGCTTAGAAAAATATCTATTAACTGTTAAGTTTGTGATCATTACATATATTTATTTTATTTGCTGATAAAATAGCATTTTACAAGTTGTTTCTGTTGTAAGAAATATTGTTATCAGAGTCTGTATTGCATGTCACATATTTTCCCAGTATTGCGCAGCCCTAATGGCTTGCATTTTTTTTTCTTTTCTCAACTTTAATTTAAATGGTTTTAAATGTAATTTTTTCTTGTAAAAGTAGGATGTGTGCTTATTTTTTTCAGCCGTTTATTATTAATTTTAATTTTTTATTTTCTTGCTATAATATATTTTGATAATGATTTACAGACTAAAATGTAATTCAGTGTAATAATAGTTTAAATATCATTAATATTTTTGTATGCATAATTTTAGCCATTTATTAGCAAGAGGTTTTTAGATCTTTAAATTGTCTATGATTACTTAGTATTTTATGTTTTAGTAACCACAGGGCAGAATAGGCTTTCATTTTTACATAAAAAATATCTGTTACACTGAATGATGGAACACCATATGACTCATAATGACATCTTATTTTCACGAAATATATTTTATACATTAGACGTTTGTGTATATGTATACAAGAGTCTAATGTTTATATATATATATATATATATACACACACACACACACAGTTGAAGTCAGAATTATTAGCCCCTCTTAAATTTTTTTTTCTTCTTTTTTAAATATTTTCCAAATGATGTTTAACAGAGCAAGGAATTTTTCACAGTATGTCTGATAATATTTTTTCTTCTGGAGAAAGTCTTATTCGTTTTATTTCAGCTAGAATAAAAGCAGTTTTAAATTTTTTTAACACCATTTATGGACAAATTTATTAGCCCCTTTAAGCTAATTTTTTTTCGATAGTCTACAGAACAAAACCACTGTTATACAATAACTTGCCTAATTACCCTAACCTGCCTAGTTAATCTAATTAACCTAGTTAAGCCTTTAAATGTCACTTTAAGCTGTATAGAATTGTCATGAAAAATATCTAGTCAAATATTATTTACTGTCATCATGGCAAAGATAAAATAAATCCATTATTAGAAATGAGTTACTAAAACTGTTATGTTTAGAAATATGTTGAAAAAAAATCTTCTCTCTGTTAAACAAAACTTGGGGGAAAAATAAACAGAGGGGCTAATAATTGAGGGGGGCTAATAATTCTGACTTCAACTGTATGTATGTATATATATATAAACACAAATATTAAACACAATATCAAATATCACACTCACATTGTTAGTTTGATGGCATAATTGTGTACATAAAAGAGAAAATCAAACACCCTTTGTCCCTTTGTATGAGGAACTACTGTCTTCCGCCATTCATTCACATCCACAGCCGATGGTCAAAACAGCAGAAACCGTTGCTTAAAAACACAACGTCACTTTAAAGCTAGTGTTTGAATTATTCATAATTTCTGAAGTGATGACAAAACAAGTTAATTTGCTCATGCTTTAGGATTATAAGGCTAAATGGCATGAATTTCCATCAGTCTACAGATATCTCACAGTATTTCTCTGTTGAAAACGGGAGATCACAATAATTAACCCAGAAAAAGCCAAACCAAATCAAACACTAAAAGATTACTATGGTATAAATACAGCACTACACAATACAAAAGGGAGAGTTCGACTTGGAATGTGATTTACCTGTTTTATAAATATTCGATTAGGTGTAAATTGAAATTCAAAAAGAAAACAGCTTTTCTCCCCTGAGGACTTATTATGTGGTCTGGCGCCATCTTGTGGCTGCCGATCATCAATTTCTGCTACCACTGACTCACTGAATGTCTAAAATCTAAATAACTATGTGTGTGTAATATATATATATATATATATATATATATAGTATTATATAACAATTATATTTTGAATTTAAATAATTTTTTTCTTGCGTTTACATTAATTTTACATTTGAATAGCCAAAATTACAAGTTTCAGTATTTTAAATGTGTTTAATCGCGATTATTCTTTTTAAAAAGGTGCGATTAATTAGTTAATTTTTTTTAATCGATTGACATGGCTTCAATTGTTTTGACCAAATCAAATTTTACAAGTGTGACTCCTAAGTTCACAAGCAAAATGTCTTCATTTACTCTCCTGCATGTTGTTCAGATTGGGTGTGTATCCTCTAATTTACAAAAGTCTGACATTTATGAACTGCCTTTGTAGGTTGAAGTGCCCGAGTTTCCTGAAGACCTGCAGCACTGGATCAATTTCATCACGGCCAGCAGCAAAGCCCTGAGGGGGGAAAGTCAGCTCCATGATAAAAAGAGCCAATGAAGACTTGCTGCCTTTAAATGAACTCAAACACACTGCTTTACAAAACAGCAACATGCATTCAACTCTCAGGCGTTTGGACACTCCAGAGCACAATAATAATCTGACTTCTGCTGTAGTTCATAAACCTGGATCATGCCATATTATGACTTGTGCAGATTGTAAGATTATGAATAGCCATGAATATATGCTTAAAATCAATGCATGAACAAATGATTATTTTTATTTGCATTTCAGATTTAACAAAACAATAAAAGCAAAAATAAGAACAAAAAATAATATATATTTAAGCAAAAATGACACAATGCAAAATATAGACATCACAATATTTAATAATTCAATTAAATTAAAATATTAAGTGTATTTAATAATGTTAATAAAATATAGTGATACAATTATTTAATTAATTTACATTATTTTGCCTTTTTGGCGCAGTGAGTAGCACAATCGCCTCACAGCAAGAAGGTCGCTGGTTTGAGCCCCAGCTTAGTCAGTTTCCATTTCTGTGTGGAGTTTGCATGTTCTCCTCTTGTTGGTGTGTGTTTCCTACGAGTGCTTTGGTTTCCCCCACAGTCCAAAGACATGTGCTATAGATGAATTGGGTAAGCTAAATCGGCCGTAGTGTTTGTGTGTGAATGAGTGTGTATGGGTGTTTCCCATTGACGGGTTGCAGCTGGAAGGGCATCTGCTGTGTAAAACATATGCTGGATAAGTTGGTGGGTTATTCTCCTGTGGCGACCCGAGATTAATAAAGGGACTAAGCCAAAAAGAAAGTGTGTGTGAGTGGGTGTGTGGGTGGGTGGGTGTGTGTGTGTGAGAGTGTGTGAGTGATGCTAAAATATGAGGTATTATTATGCTAAAACGTATATAAAAAATGTATGGCTTTTTACTTTTAGTATTTTGATGACTTCTTTTCAAGAAATTAGGTTTGGGTGCTCAAAAATTGCATTTATGATGAAATATTGAATACATATAAAGTAAATCAGCGGACAGTATTTTCTAGTGTAATATTTTTTGGTGTGGTATCATGGTGTATTACTGCCATCGACTGGACTGGAGTGTGAAGTGTTTGTAGGAAAGGATAAAAAAATAGCAGTAATAGATAAATATGTGCAGTGCTAAGCATATATAGGTTCACCCCTCACAAATCTATCTTTAAAATTTATTTATTTAATAGGAAGCTCTATAATATTATATTTGTGCATATACCTTTGAAGTCAGAATTATTAGCCCCCCTGAATTATTAGCGCCCCTGTTTATTTTTTTCACCAATTTCTGTTTAATGGAGGGAAGATTGTTTCAGCACATTTCTAAGCATAATAGTTTTAGTAACTCATTTCTAATAACTGATTTATTTTATCTTTGCCATGATGACAGTAAATAATATTTGACTAGATATTTTTCAAGGCACTTCTATACAGCTTAAAGTGACATTTACAGGCTTAACTGTGTTAATAAAGTGAACTAGGCAGGTTAAGGTAATTAGGCAAGTTATTGTATAACAGTGGTTTGTTCTGTAGATTATCGGGGGGGGGGGGGGGGGGGGGGGATTGCTTAAAGGGGCTAATAATTTTGTCCCAAAAATGTTTTTTAAAAAATTAATAACTGCTTTTTTTTCTAGCCGAAATAAAACAAATAAGACTTTCTCCAGAAGAAAAAAATATTATCAGACATACTGTGAACATTTCCTTGCTCTGTTAAACATCATTTGTGAAATAATTCAAAAAAGATTTTAAAAAACGGAAGGGGGACTAATAATTCTGACTTCAACTCAAAAAATTAAAACAAATCAGAAATGGCTGAAAAAAGGTTCCTGAGCTCTGTGCTAGAGTACAAAAATCACTGAAAACAGTAGCTACTTTAGTAGCTTTACCATTTAACAAAGTACTAAAGGATGAAGCTATAATAACAAGTTCAATAATAAAGTGTAAAATATAAGGGAGGTTTTCAAAAACCTACATTTATGAATGAGGAAATTTGCAAAGCATAAATTGTTAATAACCAGGTAACCCTGTGTACAATTCTTTAGTTACACAGTTCTAGTGTATCGCAAAAAGGGTTTACATGCATATTGACATGAGACATTCTGAGCCCAAAATAACTCTGGATATGTTAAATTGCAGAAAATATGCTCAGTGGTTTCAATATCACTTTCAGAAAATCTTTCAAACGTGATTTTTTTTTTTTCTTTCAAACGTGATCTCTGCTAGATGACAGAAGTTTGGCGTCACGCCGTTCCAAGGGCGGCCTTCATGTAGTCACGTGGTCACGTTAAACCAATCGGAGCGCAGTACCTCTAAGCGCGGAAGTGCGTGAAGCCGGTTTTCGGGTGTCCATCGCGTGAGTACCAACCGCATCATATTTGACAAAATAACGATGATAAACATTAACGAATGCACTTCGCTTGTCTGTACTTTTATATTAATACGGAAACCGGTACACTTAGGATAGGTTTTACTGCACGACCTTGTCAATGTTCTCCATCAGAGGGCTAATATTTAATCTAAAATACGATATTTCATTCATTTCCGAAATATACGATTACATTTATCGCATTGCATATGTAAATATCCGCCAGAAATATGTAATAATGTATTGCCGCTAATGCAGTAGTGTCCACTGAAGCCGGGGCACTGCTGACAGCCTCGCAGGTTTCCTTGTTTTACATTAATACGGAAACATGTCGAGTTAAAATAGGTTTTACTTCACAATGTTCTTCACATAAGCTCTGATATTTAATCTTAATTTCAATTTTCATTATTTTCCGAAATGTACGAATTAATAGCCTATTTTAAAAGGCATCATATATATATATATATATATATATATATATATATATATATATATATATATATATATATATATATATATATATACACATATATACATACATACACACACAGTATATACCTGATCAGAAATATGTAATGATGTCCTGCCTGATATCCTGTACTGAAGCTTATTAATGTCATTTTCCTATCTTTTATTATTATTATTCTCTTTGTAAGTAGGCTACAGTTAATGCAACTTGTATCTTTTTTTATATAATATAAATCTTCTTTACTTTAAATTGTTTGTTAATTTCCTTGTTTTACTGGAATAATAATAATAATGATAATAATAATGACAATAGCAGCATGTGGTGAAGCCGGATCACAGGTGTTGTCCTCCTGTTCTGCATCTTTAATTGATGCTGTGAATAATTGATGTGTCACAGAATCATGCTGCTGTGGTTTCTCTCCGGCTCTCTGCTTCTCTTCGGCACTTTTGACGTCTGGTATTTCCTGCGAGGCTTATGGGTGGCGCTCCGCTGCTGCTTCCAGAGTCCCATCCGGGATGTCCTGGCCGAGCAGGTGGTGCACGGCAGGGTTCTGCTGCACGACATGGACTTTATGTGCCACATGAATAACGCCCGGTATCTGCGCGAGTGCGACTTCGCCCGGTTTGCGCACGGCACGCGCATTGGCCTATTCATGGCCGCGCGCGCGCTCAAAGCCACCATGGTTGTCGGAGCCACGACCATCCGGTACAGGCGCTCGCTGGCGCTCGGAGAGGGGTTCGAGCTGCGCACCCGCATTGTGTCCTGGGACGAGAAGTCCTTCTACCTGGAGCAGAGGTTCGTGTCCAAGTCTGACGGCTTCATCTCTGCGGTCATGCTGTGCCGGCAGAACGTCATTCGAGGAAGCCCGCAGAATATACTGGAGTTCCTGTGCAAGAGGAAGGTGAGCATCTTCTGGCTTTTGTTTGTGCATTATTACAGACACAGACTGCTTATCAGTCATTTAAGTTCACCGATTTGATTTTTAGTTTATTCTTTTTTTTTTTTTTCAGTTTAACACAAAATAAGTTTTTTCGAAAAATGTTGGAAACCATCTTGCACTTCAGTATTAGTTTTTTTACTTATGGAAGTAAATGGTTACAGGTTTTCAGCTTTCTTTAAAATGAGTTCTTAAGTGTTCAACAAAATAAAGAAAGATTGAGTTCACCCAAAAATGATACTTGATTTGATATTTATTATTATTATTAATATTCTGTTAAACACAAACAAAGTTATTTTGAAGAATATTACAAACCTATAATCTTGGACTTCAGTATGAGGTTTTTTTTCCTAATGGAAGTCGATGGTTACAGGTTTTCAGAAAATTAGTCATCTTTTACCTAATTTCATTATGTTGTTGTTGTTGTTGTTGTTGTTCATTTAAACACAAAATAAGTTATTTTGAAGAATGTTTGAACCTGTAACCATTGACTTCTATGGTGTAAGGTTTTTCATATGAAAGTAAATGGTTGCTGGTTTTCAGCTTTCTTCAAAATGAGTTCTTTAGTGTTCAACAGAACAAAGAAAGATCGAGTTTACCCAAAAATGATACTTGATTTGATATTTATTATTATTATTATTATTCTGTTTAGTTAAATACAAACAAAGCTATTTCTAAGAATATTACAAACCTATAATCTTGGACTTCAGTATAAGTTTTTTTTTTTCTAATGGAAGTCGATGGTTACAGGTTTTCAGAAAATTAGTCATCTTTTACCTAATTTCATTATTTTGTTGTTGTTGTTCATTTAAACACAAAATAAGTTATTTTGAAGAATGTTTGAACCTGTAACCATTGACTTTTATGGTGTAAGGTTTTTCTTATGAAAGTAAATGGTTACTGGTTTTCAGCTTTCTTCAAAATGAGTTCTTTAGTGTTCAACAGAACAAAGAAAGATTGAGTTCACCCAAAAATAAAATTGGTCATATTTAACTTGATATCATTTTTGTTGTTGTTGTTGTTGTTGTTCAGTTAAACACAAATTAAGTTATTTTGAAGAATGTTTGAACCCATAACCAATGACCTCTATTGTGTTTGGTTTTTATTATGAAAGTAAATGGTTACTGGTTTTCAGCTTTCTTCAAAATGAGTTCATTAATGTTCAATAGAATAAAGAAAGATTGAGTTCACCCAAACAAAAAAAATGGTCATCATTTGCTTGATTTCATTTTTTTTTAGTTCAGTTAAACACAAAAGAAGTTATTTCGAAGAATGCTGGATACCTTTAATCTTCAGAGGGGTCTGGATGCAGCCCTGGTGCAGTGCAATCTGAGCTGCATCCAATGCTTTTTGATGAGCTCACCTAACCCCACCCATCACAGTGTCATCACTCACTCCATTTGTGTGCATTGTGTCTGACATTGCATTGCTAAGTGATGCAATCTCAGCTTGCATCATAAAGGCTGCATCCAGATACTATTGATAATCTTGGACTTCAGTCTTATTTTTTTTTTCTTATGAAAGTAAATAGTTACAGGTTTTCAGCTTTCTTTAAAATAATGTCTTTATTGTTAAACAGAATAAAGAAAAGTTTAGTTCACCCCAAAATGAAAATTGGTCTTTTACTTGTTACAAACCTGTTTGAGATTTCTTTGTTCAGTTGAACACAAAAGATGTTATTTTGAAGAATGTTGGAAACCTGTAACCATTGACTTTCATGGTATTTTTATTTATTTTTTTCTTATGCAAGGCAATGATTACAGGTTTTCAGCTTTCTTCAAAATGACTTCTTTTGCATTTAATGAATGGAAAAAAATCACTAATTTATTCTGTTGAACAGAAAATATATTTTGAAGAAAGCTGAAAACCAGTACCAAGTACACGTGCTTGTCAGTCTTAGAAAAGACACTGAAGCATGCTTAACTCAAAAAATATTTTTGCTTCTCTTTCAAACTAATTATTTAAAATGAGCTGAAACAAAACAATGCTTGAGATTCCTTTGGGGCAAGTTAATTATTCTGTGTTCAATACACTTCAATTTGTTAAATTTGTGAAGTAAACTCTATTTATTTGTGTTGGGACAACATGTATTATGTGGAACCCAGCATTTTTACAGTGTTGTCAGCTATAAATAAATAAATAAATATATATATATATATATATATATATATATATATATATATATATTGCAGCAAGTGCTTGTTAAAATTTATGTGAAAAATATTTTTTATTACTACTTTTTCACTCACTTTTGTGTTAGATCAATTACACTATTAAATTAGTATTATTTAATTAATTTTAATCAAATGTATTTACTTGCATTTAAATATTTCTTTAAATTATTTGTTTTTAAAAACTTGTGGACCCCAAATATGCTAACCCTACACTCCCTTCCTAAAATTAAAAAGGCAATAATATATGTTTCAACTTATAAAGAGTGAAATAGTATATTATAAATACTTATACTTTATATACTTATACTTTATATTATAAATACTAATTATTAATAAATTAAAATTATGAATAAAGTATATCAGAATTATATATATAGTGCTCAATATATATAAGTACGCTCCTCACAAATCCACTCACTAATAGGAAGCTATACAATATTGTCTGTGTGCATATACATTAGATAAGTCAGTACTGAAGTCAAATATGGAGCTTATCTAACAAAAAAACTTACAATAACGGTATGAAAACTAGTACTGTACATCCAAATTTATATGTTATCAAAAATAATACAAATTTAAAGAAGAGGAAAAATCAAGAGAAGCAAACATAATTGGAAATATTTAGTTGAAATTTTGTTGGTTGTGATTTATTTTTGTAATATTTTGCTTGAATATAATTGTATTATCTTTCAATTTCGAAATATGTTTGGTATTAAAAACATTTTTTAAATAAATGTCTGTTTAATAAATCTGTTTTGTTTAAATGCACCATAATACATTTCCTATATTCACTGAGAGATGGACATGTATATATGAAGACTTCAATTGCAAAAACCTCTAAGCGCTGTCTGAAATTTCACATTGAAATGAGCATTTTTCTCAGACTCCTATGTTTATGTTGAGTTATTTAATTTTAAAGACCTTTTAGAGACCTTATTCTTTGCCATTAACTTTAAATTACTGAACCTACACACAGGAGCCTGATAAAAATAGGACATTTCAAATTGTTTTAGCATCAGAACTCTTCAGTTCAGTTTATATATAATATATTCATTAGTTTATATAAAAACTAATATATATAAACTATAAATATATATAAACTTTTTGTGGTTGTTATTTTTTACATGAAATGTTTAAATTGAAATCACAATTTTATTTAAATAAGAATTCATATAAAGCAAAAAGACTTGTTTTATATGTTAAATTATTATATTAAAATTCTTTAAAAATATTTTGTTTTTAAAAAGTTTCTACTCAATGTGCTGCCTCCTTTAATTTTTTAAATAATTTTATATTTTAATATTTGATTAATTATTAAGTTTTTTTTTTATTGTTTACATTTTGTGGGCCTCCAGGCTTTATAGCATTACTTTTTGTCTGTGTTGAAAATCCTCACTGTACTGTTAATGTTTATTTGGTGAAATTGTGTTTATTTTAATAAAGTAACAATAAAAAAGTTGCATATCTTTTAAAGCCTGCATTATTTACATGTTTTGTTTTCTCTAAATAACAAACATGAAATTCTATAGCTTACCATGGTACATAAATATGACAGTCATTATCATTGAGCATTATTTTGCTTAAGACACAGTAGTATATCATGTCGCTAGACATGTATCATTGTAACACCGTGATTCCCTTTAAAGTATTTTCACATTGGACTAACTCATATATGTCTGCAATATGAAGGTGGACTGCCCAGACATTTCCGAGGAACTCCAGCACTGGATTCGGTTCATCTCTGCTAGCAGTCAGGCTCTGAGAGCAGAAAGCGGACTGGACGACAAGACCAAATGATCATGTCAGAGCAGACCAAACAGTCATTACCGTAAGCCTTCCTCGTGCATGTAAGTTCCCCGTGATGCTGACCTTAATTCATCTTACTTATCTCCAAGTGTCTGGGTTTTGTGATCCCGAACCTGCGGCTGGTTGGCAGCCTCAGCTCTTTCTCCAAACACACCAGCCCTCCATTTTTAGTTTAGAAGTATTGCAACGCCATCATTACTGTATTTACAGAATCCATTCCAGAAGCTGCAAGAATGAAACTGAAAACACAAGAGCATGAATCTCTGTTGAGAAACAGAGCGCATGAGCGAATGTAGAAAACACTTGACTCCATTGACTTGAACGCTCGGGGCTTCTAAACGCTCCCTTGACCAGATACGCACATGAACGTGACGGGAAAAAAAGCACTGAAATTAATCTGAATGATGAAATTGAGTTTGAGATGTGTGTTGTTTTATTATTATCATATCACCTCATGGATTTGTTCTGTCGGTCAGATATGTTAATGTACTTATTTATTCAATTTTAAAACTGAAATTTTATTATTATTATTATTTATGAAAAGGGATCATGTGATTATTTAACTACAATAAATTGAGATTTGCATAATTTATTAAAGAAGAGTCTATATGTAAAAGAAATGTAAAGGCCTGTATTGAAACTTGAAGACTTGCATTATGAAATAAAAAATGAATTATAAATAACGTGTGTGGATGTTTCTGAGTTTTCTTTATTATTATTATTATGCTTTAAGCAATAAATACAAATACAGTTGAAGTCAGAATTATTAGCCACCCTGTTTATTTTTTCCCCAATTTCTGTTTAAAGGAGAGAAAATTTTCCCAACACATTTCTAAACATAATACTTTTAATAACTCATCTGTAATAAATGATTTATTTTATTTTTGCCATGATGACAGTAAATAATATTTGACTAGATATTTTTCAAGACACTTCTATACAGCTTAAAGTGACATTTAAAGTCTTATTAGGTTAACCAGGCAGGTTAGAGTAATTAGGCAAGTCATTGTATAATGATGGTTTGTTCTGTAGACTATCAAAAAATATATAAAGCTTAAAGGGGCTTAAAATGTAAAAAATAAAAATAAAAACTGCTTTTATTATAGCCGAAATTAAACAAACAAGACTTTCTGCAGAAGAAAATATATTATTAGACATACTGTAAAAATTTCGCCACCAAGACGCCCCATGGCATGCACAGAGCAAAAAGAGCAATTTATATCAATATAATTTAAAAACATTACTGTTTAACCAGATATAATTGATGACTTTGTTTAAAAGACATTTATTTTATCTTGTAATAAAAATTGTGATGACCAAATACTTTCCCATTTAGGAATTCTCACAAATTTTTTCCAATAGGTACTAGAGCTAGGCTTGAAAACAATTCGGTTTAAAAAAAGAAAGGGAATAGATTTATTATTTTTATTCTGTGAAAAACTAATTTTACTACACATTTTATCAGCTTGACTGGTTATGGGCAATCGAACCCAAGTTACATCACTAAATAAGGAAACAATACTAGAATTAATTGCAGAGAAAACAAAAGAGAGTTCATTGGGAGTCACAGGAGTTTCTGAGTTATTAGAAGGGCTTGCTTGTAAACGCAGTCCATGTTTGTTTCAAGTGAGATAAGCGTATATATCTACGTGAGAGAAATTTGCATTATTGCCCTCTAGTGTCAAAACACATGTTACACTCTCAAAGCCCTCCTGCTGTTATTATTAATTTGTCCGTCAAACTCATGTTTGGTCATTACAGCGACATTTACACTTATTAAAAAAATTAATAATGTTTTGAAAGTTGTTTTACACTCACCTTATTAAATATTCCGGGAATAATGAATATGTTAATTTGACCCCGCCCCCACTCATTCCCGCCGCCAGCTTTTCTATGTTTCATCTTCACTCGGTTAACTGAGGTAGACTCCATACAATGGTAAGTGGCAGTCTTAGTTAAATGATTTTATTTCTGTCAGTCACAGCACTTTTATGAGTAAAACTTCAATTGTGAATCGATTTGAGCTTATTAAAAAGAAGAATGTTTCCTTTTTAATAACTGAAAAACTGTTAACGTTAATCTGTTCGTCACGATCTCGTTAAGTGCTTTTATAATGCTTCACGGTTGTGGTGTTATATATAGTGCTCTACAATGTACAATAATCGTCTTATTCACCTCAATTTTACAAGCTGTTGCAATGAGGGGATTCTTGAGTGAAAACGGCCCTGAAACCGAATGAAGCGCCTGCGCTTTTTGCAATCGCAAACGCTTCTGATTGGTCACCACCTTCAAGAAATCATCAGGTACTGTTTGTCGATGGTTAGCTACAATTCTCAACGATGCCAAAACACTTTGTAAATAAAAACTGTCGATGGTTGAGGAGATAATAGGCTATGCATAAGGACTTTTAATTTTCAGTCAGGCAGCCCAAGGGCTCCGGTAAGTTAAACTGTCTTTCCATTATAAAATTGTCACGTTTAAGATCAGATAAAAAAAAAAATCAGCAATCTTTACTGCCTGTTAACGTTAGATATACGATATGAAGTGGGTCTCAGATCAGACAAGAAGCACTGCATTAAATTTCATTGCTTCCCGCCATGTCATTAAAATATGATACTCATATTTTGGTTCATTTTCAATGATAGGTTCATTTTACCTCAGTATTTTCAATGGAATTTCTGCGCTAGCCTGCTGCTATTCATTTTCAAATTGGGTGTACTTAAGTATGCTGAGCACTGTATAAATAGTGATATATATATTATATATTAGTAAAAATATATATTAATAATATATATATATATATATATATATATATATATATATATATATATATATATATATATATATATATATATATATATATATAAGTTGAAGTCAAAATTATTAGCTTGTTTATTTGTTTCCCCAATTTCTGTTTACAGAGGGATTCAACACATTTCTAAACATAATAGTTTTGATAATTCATTTCTAATAACTGATTTGTTTTAGCTTTGCCATGAAGACAGTAAATAATATTAGAATATTAGACTAGATATTTTACAATACACTTCTATACAGCCTAAAGTGATATTTAAAGGCTTAACTAGGTTAATTAGGTTAACTAGACAGGTTAGGGTAATTAGGCAAGTTATTATATAACAATTGTTTGTTCTGTAGACTATTGAAAAATATAGCTTAAAGGGGCTAATAATTTTGACCCTAAAATGGCTTTTAAAAATTAAAAACTGCTTTTATTATAGCTGAAATAAAACAAATAAGACTTTCCTCAGAAGAAAAAATATTATTAGACATACTGTAAAAATGTCCTTGCTCTGTTCAACATCATTTGGGGAATATTTAAAATAGAAATAGAGTAATTAGCTGCTGTTAAATTTGAATACTTCTCTATTTTTTCCCCAAGTTCTAATGGAGATTTTTTCAACATATTTCTAAGCATAATAGTTTTAATAACTCATTTCTAATAACTGATTTCTTTTATCTTTGCCATGATGACAGTAAATAATATTTGACTGGATATTTTTCAATTATTTAGGTTAATGAGGCAAGTTAAGATATTTAGGCAGGTAATTGTACAGCAGTGTTTTTCTGTTGCCAATCTAAAAATATTGCTCAAGGATATTATTTATATTGACTTTAAAGTGCTACAAAAAAAAAACACTTTTATTTCAGCCAAACTAAAACAAAAAACTTACTCTAGAAGAAAAAATATTATGTGAAATACTTTGAAAATGCCATGCTCCGTTAAATATCACTTGAGGAATCATTGAAAAAAAAAATATTTTTAGGAAGGCTAATTATTTTCCCCTCAACATTATTATTATTATTAATATTATTATTATTATTGTTGTTGTTGTTGTTGTTGTTGTTATTATTATTATTTAGTTTCTAAATATATAACAGCAAATATTTATTTTAAATTGTGAAAAGAACAGTTTGTGTGTGCGTGCGTGTGTATGCGTGTGTGTGTGTATGTGTGTTGACGTGTTTTCAAACGTGCTTTTCTGAGCTAGTGTAAACTCTGCAGTCCAGCAACTCTTGTCCTCATTTCCTGACATGCTCAGTGTGTGTTGTGCTCAGCAGCTGTTGGGCCCCTCCCCCTCCTGTCAGCCTCTGTGGTCACATGACTCACTTCCTGCATAAACAAAGCTCTCGGCTGGGCTTCGTTCTGCCACAAACCTGCTAAAATGGCGCAAGCTGGGGTTTTCCTAGAGCACGACCAGTTCAACTGCTCCATCTGCCTGGACGTCTTGAAGGACCCTGTCACCATTCCATGCGGCCACAGCTACTGCAAAGGCTGCATTAAGAACTACTGGGACCAGGATGACTACCTGGGGATCTATGGCTGTCCTCAGTGCAGGCAAAGCTTCGCTCCCAGACCTTTGCTGGGCAGAAACACAATGCTAGCCGATGTTGTGGAGAAATTGAAGAAGACAGGACTGCACGCTGGACCCGCAAGCGATCCAACACAAGCCGAGCCTGGAGATGTTGAGTGCGACGTTTGCTCGGGGACCAAAAACAAAGCCTTCAAATCCTGCCTGGTGTGCTTGGCGTCGTACTGCGAGACTCACCTTCAGCCGCACTACGAGTCCCCTGCCTTTCAGAAACACAGGCTGGCTTCTCCCTCAAAGAAGATGCAGGAGCAGCTGTGCTCGCGACACGATAAACTACTGGAGGTGTTCTGCCGCACGGATCAGCAGTGCATTTGTTACCTTTGTTTAACGGATGAGCACAAAGGACACGACACCGTTCTGGCAACAGCGGAGATGAATGAGAAGAAGGTAAAGCTGTGTGGAGTGTTATCAGGTCATGTGTGTGTTATCATTTTCAGTGCTAGTTTTACATCTGCTGTACATTTCAGTTTCATTTTTTTTTTGTGAACACATTTCTATTTAGTTGTTTATATATTTTGGTTCGAATTTAGTAAATCTATTTTAATAGTTAGCAAATACATCCAGTATCGACTAATCAAAGTTTACATTTAAAGGGATAGTGAGGAGAGGAACCCAAAAATTAAAATCCTGCATCATTTACTCTCTTTTGTTTGTTTTTTCTTTCGGTTGAACACTAAAGAAGATATTTTGAAGAATGTTGGACACCTGTAGCCATTTACTTTCTTTCTTTTTTTTTTTTTTAATAATCTTTTTATTGTTTTTAGCATAAGAACAGGGTCCCCGCGGGGTCTTAAAAAGTATTAAAAAGTCTTAAATTAAAAAAATGAAATTTATGTCTTTAAAAAGTCTTAAATTTGCTGTTCTAGGTCTTAAATATTTTTGCTCAGGTCTTATTTTTGCGATGTCCATGTAACACTACATCTAATGCTCATTTAAATTATTTTTTGTTGTTGTTGCTAGGTTTTTGGGGTGTTGTAGTTCATTATTTCACAGGTCCAATTGTAATTTGCGGTATTACAACAAAAAAAGTCAACTTGCAATAGCCAATCAGCTTTCTGTTATTAAACTCAGTGCGCGCGGCGAATGTGACGTCATCGCTGTGTTTGCGGAAGTTCGCTTTGAGTGCGCGCGACATGATTTCGGCTGGCAGAGTATGCCATTATTTCACTGACAAATGTCGCAAGCGCAGTTTTATAAGTCGGGAGCGTTGTAATGCGAGAGAGCGAAATTTAAAGAACTTTATTTTACCCCTAATTTTGTGCTTTTACATTTTCTCTCGCGTGTTTTTGATATTGCGATATAGGTCTTAAATTTAATACTTAATGGTCTTAAAAAGGTCTTAAAAGGTCTTAAATTTGACATTATGATATCTGCAGAGACCCTGAAGAAATAATCAACAACATAAACAGAACAAAAAACAACATAAAAAATAAGGGGGGTTACAAAGGCCATTTCAAAATACACAAATAGTCAGACACAACATAATACAACATCATCCAGAAAACATAAGGAAATAAACAGGATTAAATATGAAACAAAAATAATTTACAGAGAAATGCATAGGCTCCACAATTCGACTTACTCCAGACCAATCTCACGTATAAAGAGTTACAAGTTAGCATTACTGATATAGAACATAATTGGGCTCCAGATTTTTAAAAATGTGTTTAGTTTGTTTGTCATCCCATATCGCATTTCCTCCATGGGCAACATGAAACTTAAGCTCCTAACCCAAATTTCGAAGACAGGCACATAATCTGACTTCCAATTTTGTACAATATTTTCTTTGCTAATATCATACACAAAGATACTGCCTGTGATATATATTTATCTGCAATATCTGAGGTGTCTCCGAAAATGCCCAATTTTGGATCTGGTGACAGACTTATCCCGTATACTTCAGATATAAAATTAAAAATGCTCTGCCAAAATGAACTAATTTTATGGCATGACCAGAATGAGTGAGTAAGTGTACCTTCAGAGTTTTTACATTTGTTGCACAATGAGGAAGAAATTGGGAAAAATCTTATTTAATTTCACTTTAGAAAAATGCAGTCTGTGGACAACTTTAAATCGAATCAGTCTGTGTCTCGTGTTGATAGAGCAATCATGAATTTTGAAAAGATAATCTTCCCATGACTCATCTGATATTACTGTGTTTAGCTCTTTTTCCCTCTCTTTCCTAATTTTGTCAGTGTTTGAATTAACCTCATCCAATAATAAGTTATAGAAAAAAGAGACAGTACCTTTTTCTATTGGGCTGTGTTTTGTTATATTCTCAAGTGTCTGGTGTATTTACTTTCATAATATTTGTTTTTCCTGCTATAGAAGTCAGTGGTTACAGGTTTTTCTTCGAAATATCTTCTTTTGTGTTCAACAGAAGTATTCTAGTTTTGCTGAGGTAACAAGTATGCCCAGTGTCGGCCAATCAAAGTTTACATTTAAGGGATAGTTCACCCAAAAATGAAAATCCTGCATCATTTACTCTCTCTTTACCTGTTTTTTCTTTCTTTCTGTTGTACACTAAAGAAGATATTTTGAAGAATGTTGGAGACCTGTAACCATTGAGGTCCATTGTGTTTGTTTTCCTACTTATGGAAGTCAATGATTACAGGTTTATCTTTAAAATATCTTAATTTGTGTTCAACAGAAGTATTGTAGTTTTGCAGAGATGACAAATACATCCAGTGTCGACTAATCAAAGTTTACATTTAAAGGGATAGTTCACCCAAAAATTTAAATTCTGCATCATTTATTCTCTCTTTACTTGTTCCAAAGCTGTTTGAGGCTTATTTCTTTCTGTTGAACATAAAATATGATATTTTGAAGAATGTTGGAAACCTGTAATCATTGATTTCCATTGTATTTGTTTTTCCTACTTATGGAAGTCAATGGTTACAGGTTTATCTTTAAAATATCTTAATTTGTGTTCAACAGAAGTATTCTAGTTTTGCAGCGATGACAAATACATCCAGTGTTGATTAATCAAAGTTTACATTTAAAAGGATAGTTCACCCAAAAATGAAATTTCTGCATCATTTATTCTCTCTTTACTTGTTCCAAACTTGTTTGAGGCTTATTTCTTTCTGTTGAACATAAAAGAAGATATTTTGAAGAATGTTGGAGAAACTCATGAAGGTTTGAAGCCTCTTGAGGGTGAGTATATTTCATTTTTGAGTGAACTATCCCTTTAACACTTGTGCAAAACTCTTAGTAATAAAACTCTATCATTTTCTTTATGTAAAACCCACTCAAATTCAACAAAAGTTCTCTTCACGTGCCTTGTTTACAACAAAAGCAGAAAACATAGAACACATGTTTATGAAGAAGAGATATTTTTGTAGACCACTGAGCCACTTTGTCGCCCCGCTTTCAGTAAAGTTAAGTTTGATTTGCTTTCAATTTTCAGTTCATTTTGATTTGTTTTTACTATTTAGTGAACTAGATTCTGTTTGTTATTTATATATTTATGTGTGTTTTTAGTACTTCTAGCTTACTAGTTGGCAAATATGTCGTGTCGACCAATCAAAGTCTACATTTAAGGGATAGTTCAACCCAAAAATGTAAATTCTGCATTATTTACTCTCTCTTTACTTGTTCCAAACCTGTTCGAGGTTTATTTCTTTCTGTTAAACACAAAAGAATTCTAGTTTTGCAAAGTTGACAAATACACCCAGTGTTGACCAATCAAAGTTTACATTTAAGGGATAGTTCACCCAAAAAATCGGCATCATTTAATCTCTATTTACTCAAACCTGTTTGAGTTTTTTTTTTTTTTTTTTTTTTTTGAACACAACAAGAAGATATTTTGAATAATGTTGGAGACCTGTAACCATTGACTTTCATTGTATTTATTTTTTCTGCAACAGAAGTCAATGGTTTTCAGCTTTCTTCCAAATATCTTTATTTGTGTTCAACAGAAGAAAGAAACTCCTGAAGGCTTGGGACCACTTGAGTGCAATAAATAGAGTACATTTTCATTTTTGAGTGAACTATCCCCTTTAGCTCTTGTGCAAAACTCTAGGGTGCTTTCCACTTGGTTCATTTGCCTGGACCGTACCCAAGTTCGATTGTCTCCCCCTGCCACCTCCTCGGTTGGTTTGTGTTCACACTGTCTTTTTTCTTTCTGAACCCCGGTACGCTTGCGTCATCGAACTGCTGTTTTGTTTACGGGCGTTGCTAGGTGACGGTCACGAAAGCAAGCGCCGAAATGGAAAGACGTCCGCACATTGTGGTCATTCTGCTTTAACTGAAGCTTTTGATTTTGGACATACAGAAAGCGACTCGCGTCCATCTGCCGCAAACATATTATAAACATTCAGAACATCACAGTGTCTGCAGAAGCTGTTTTTGGAGGAGACAAGTAGACATCACTGTGTTTGCCCTGGCTCAGTCCAGGGCGTGTCACCAAGGTACGAAACGTGACACACACACACTTCCGTGATTTGGTACGATTGCATTCACATCAGATGTGAACTGTACCAGAGTTCGCATGAACTGTACCCCAGACCACCTCTTTCAGGCGCACTCGAGTGCGGTTCACGGGTGCGCACCCGAGTTCAGAAGGCACGCTCACACTAGCTAAACGTATCGTACTATGATGTCAAACGAACCTAGGTGCGGACCAAAAGTTCTAGTGTGAAAGCACCCTTAGTAATAAAATAATCGTTAGAGCAATTACTGAATCCAAAACCACAAACATTCAACAAAAGTCTTATTCATATTTAAGATCATACTGTATATGTAAGTAAACATGCCTTGTTTACATCTGAAGCAAAAGCAGAAAACATAGAACACAGATGTTTAATAAGAAGAGGTGTGTGTGTGTGTGTGTGTGTGTGTGTGTGTGTGTGTGTGTGTGTGTGTGTGTGTGTGTGTGTGTGTGTGTGTGTGTGTGTGTGTGTGTGTGTGTGTGTGTTAGTGTGCGTGTGTTAGTGTGTGTGTGTGTGTGTGTGTGTTAGTGTGCGTGTGTTAGTGTGTGTGTGTTAGTGTGTGTGTGTTAGTGTGTGTGTGTGTGTTAGTGTGTGTGTGTTAGTGTGTGTGTGTGTGTGTGTGTGTGTGTGTGTGTGTGTGTGTGTGTGTGTGTGTGTGTGTGTGTGTGTGTGTGTGTGGATATTATCATCAAGCGCTTGACTGATGTGTTTGTCTACAAAAGCACATCTACAATCTCAGGTCACATTCCCACCACAGAATGAGTGCGTTTAAATTCAGAAAATGGTCATTCATTCATTCATAGTCATTCGGCTTAATCCCTTTATTCATTAGGGGTCGCCACTGCGGAATGAACCGCCAACTTATCCAGCATATGTTTTACACTGCAGATGCCCTTTCAGCTGCAACCCAGTAGTGGGAAACATCCATTCACACTCATTGGACTGTGGGGGAAACCAGATCACCCGGAGAAAACCCACGCCAACACGGGAAGAACATGCAAACTCCACACAGAAATGCCAACCAGAACCAGCGACCTTCTTGCTATGAGGCGACAGTCCTAACCACTGAGCCACGATGTCGTGAAAATGATTATTTAGTTTTTCAGTGACGGTTGTTAGTGTCATTTAGTTTTAGTTTTTCCATTTATTTTGTTTTTATTTATGTTGTCTTTTTTATAGTTTCTTGTTTACTAAAATAACCTTGATGCTATCTGCTTGTTGAATGTGATAAAACTGGTGTTTTTGTTTCCCAGAATGCTTTGCTGGAGATGCGCAGGGTTTCCCAGCGGAGGATTGAGGAGCGGGAGAAGGAGCTGGCAGATCTCAGACAGGCCACACAGATGCTCACGGTGAGATTTTTTCAACACATTTCTAAACATAATAGTTTTATTAACGCATTTCTAATAACTGATTTATTTTATCTTTACCATGATGACAGTAAATAATATTTGACTAGATATTTTTCAAGACACTTCTATACAGCTTAAAGTGACATTGAAATGCTTAACTATGTTAATTAGGCAAGTTAAAACACTTAGGCAAGTCATTGTATTCACCTTATTCTTCGCTGATGAGCGGGCGCTGCCATTTGAATCTTTTTGACTCGAGACTTCTGGTCTCATTCACTTCCATTAGTTTTTAGACATTAAAAACTGCTCGTTTCGCTGTTTGATGTTACAAACTGATATTTCCTTATTATATTATTCTACTTGGTCTACATAGTCATGCAAACATTTGTTTGTAGAGCAAGTTTTTTGACCGTTTTCTGCTGTTTATTATTCCTAGTCATTTCTCCCATAGAATCGGAAGTTCTAAAACAATCGCGAAAACAGGTGCACTTCCACATATTGAGTTTGAATTTTTTAGATCAAATGAATTTTTTAGATCAATTGTATAGCCCCCTTAAATTGTTTTTCACACGGCTGCATTTATAACAAAAATAAAAGCGAGGCTGCAGTGGGAAGAAACCCGGAGGTATAGGATCAGCACTGAAAACATTGCAACAGCATGTTGCGGACTACAAACCATCTGTTTCCACAATTTCAAAATGCAGATGTGGTGTTAACATCACTTTAATATCATTCAGTTCACCAAAATGGTCGCAATTTCGAGCCCTGCTGAAGGTGGGAAAGAGAGTTCACCGCCAAAATCAAAGAGTTATGTGGGATTATTCCGAGATTCAAAGTTTTTTATCCAGGAAATCAGGGGTGTTTTGACACTTTGCTTGTTATACTGCAGCCACACAACACACATTTCCATTAGCATATTCAAACGCAGACTCTGTGTGCAATGAAACCTTCCTTGTTCCTCTGTGGACAAAACGAATGCAGTTGTTACCTCCAGAATCCTACTGCTGAGCTCAATTAAAAGGTTGTAATAGTTTTATGTTATGTCTTTTAAGGGTGCTTTCACACCTGCCTTATTTAGTTTGATTGAATCGCACTAGAGTTCGTTTTCCCTCTTGGTACAGTTCGTTTGGGCAGGTGTGAATGCAGCAATCGTACTCGAGTGCGCACCAAAAGCGGACCAAATAAGCGTACCGAGACTTGCTTGAAGAGGTGGTCTAGGGACGCTTTCAAACGAACCCTGGAGCGGTTAGTTTGTGGTGAGAATATAATCCGTACTAAAACAGGTCCAACCGCAAAAAGTACTCCACGTTTTGGACTAATTCAGCTGCCGTAGGCCGATGCACTGTGCATTATGGGATATGGAGGAAGAATATTTGTTGACAGCGCTTTACCAACAGAGAGCGAGAGAGGGGAAAACGTTACCTGATGGATCGTTGGTAATATTTGCGCAAGATGACCCTGTCGCAGTTTAGCTAAATTAATTCACGTCTCCTCCTGAAGTGATGAGCGATCCATTAAACACTGTTTTCCAGCCGCGCTTTATTTTCGTAATGTATAGTTTGTCTAAAGCAGGGATACAATCAGCCAGCGCAGTCGTCCCTCCAGAGTAAAAGGTTTTGTTTACCTGCGGGAGTTCACTGGCATTTTCCCGCACGTGAATTCTGACCAATCAATAAGCAGTTTAGGAAATATGTTCAACAACATCTGGCCAATGAGAGATGTGGATTTTGTCAGATGACTGCATTTTGGTTCGTTTCAACTGGTTCTGACCAAAGCCAGCAGTGTGGTGTGAAAACGACCCAAAGACGGCAGAAGATGCAACAATGTATCATTTATTACCCTTGGTCTGGATCAAATGAAGCGAACTACAGATGTGAAAGCACCCTAAGATTGAAAACACACTGACAAATCAAATCACACACTCTCGCTATGCAAGAACATTTGTTGCTTCCAATAAGTCCCTGACACTGACACGCTCTGCTTGAATTGGCCGACTTCAAAAGAGCAATCCAAATCATCTTTTCCATTTCACGACTCCTGTTTAAAGCCAAAGTCATGCCTTTTTTTTCTGGTTTGTGTGTGTTTTGTCTGGTGTCAGCTGTCGGCTCAGACGGCCCTGGAGGAGAGCGAGCGTGTCTTCACAGAGCTGGTGTGCTCGGTGGAGCGGCGGCGTGCTGAAGTGAAAGAGCTGATCCGGGGTCAGGAGAGGGCGGCAGTGAGTCAAGCTCAAACGCTCCTCCAACAACTGGAGCAGGAGATAACCGAGCTGAAGAAGAGACACGCTGAATTAGGAGAGCTCTCGCAAACAGACGACCATATCGCCTTTCTTCAGGTAACACGGCTTTATTGTTTGGAGTATATCAAGTGTGTTGAAGTCAAGAGTCTTGATCAAGGGCACAATGGTGATTGGTTTATGAAGGGTTCCTTTGATGGAGTTTGAACTCTCTGAAGTGGTTTGCATTGCAGATCTTTATCTGCTAGATACACTCGTTTCATTGCGAGTAAGACAAGTAAAACATTGTGAGTAAAGAATAATTTACTTATTAAAAATCTGAATATTAAATCATTAAAAAGGCTGCATTAAAGGAAACCATGTGACTAATTGTGTGAGATATAGATGATAGTTTAATGATACAAATCTGTAGATTGTCTCAGGATTGTAATGGGTTTAAAAATCGTAATAAATTTGGATTTCTATTTTTTTCACCTCAAAATGATCAGTTTGAGTCTGAAGTTAAATTGTGAGTTACAAACGTGCAACTGAGAGGAATTAAGTAAGAAAAAAAGTGCTTTTTAAGTGTGTTATGAGCTCTGTACAATTGACTGTTTATTTTCGTCATTTGTAGGAATAATTGATCAAGGAAGAAAAGAAATAAATGATTTTTCAGAATGTTAAAAAGAGGAAAAATGTAGTGCATTTAACTTGTTAGGTGTAAAAAATAGATTATAGTTTAATAAAAACCTGTAGATTGTCTCTGAATTGTAGTTAACATCGTAGAATTGTAGTCAAAACTCCATTACTTTTCAAAAATACATAATTATAATAATAATAATAAAATGTCTGATTTGCAAGATACAATTTCAGAATTATGAGAAATAAACTCAGAAATGTGTTGAACACTCAAAAAAAGAAAAGATTTTTGCTGCTTAATTTTTAGCTTAATTAATTTGTCTACTAACCACACTTGTTTCATTGTGAGGGTTTGGAGTTAGACGGTTTAGTTTCAGCATTTGTTGGAGTGACTGATCCGAAGAAGAAAGGAATAATTTACAAATCTGAATATTAAATAATAAAAAGGTTGCATAATATTAGTCCATGTGACTAACTGTGAAAGAAATAGATGAATCTCGGGATTGTAATGGGTTTAGAAATTGTGATAAATTAATTAATTAATAATAGTAAAAATTTAAATGTATGTATGTGTGTGCGTGCGTGCGTGTTTTTATCACAATTTTTTAATCACAATAAATTAATATTTTTTCGTTAACACTTTACAATAAGGTTCATTAGTTGATGCATTTACTAACATGAACTAATCATGAACAACACATGTACAACATTTATTAATCATAATTGAACATTTACTAATGCATTATTAAAATTTAAGTCCATGCTTGTTAACATTAGTTAATGCACCATGAGTTAACATGAACTAACAATGAACTACTGTATTTTCATTAACTAACGTTAACTAACATTAACTAATGAACCTAATTGTAAAGTGTGACCATTTTTTCTTCTGGAGAAAGTCTTGTTTTGTTTCAGCGGGAATAAAAGTTGTTTTACATTTTTTTTAAAACCATTTTAAGGTCAAAACTATTAGCCCCTACATAAAACTTTCTGATGAAAAAGTTTTTATTGCAAAATTTTAGTTTAATATTGAATCGACAGTTACATATATGCAATTCTGAGACGTTCAAAATGTACTGTAACTAAAAATGCTGGCATGCAAACTAAATAGTTTAGAATAGCGTAATATAAATTTTATATATTGGAGGAACTGAAAACAAGAGAAAATGGAAAAGTATAATTATATATTTTTAAATATACATAATGAAACAAAGAAATATTCATAATGAAATAAAAATCACAGTTGTAGGTTTTGAACTTGTAAAAAAGTCTGAAAATGTGATATAAACAAAAAAAATTTTAAATCACTCTTTGTACATTTTTTAAGTATGTCTCACACAGGTGAGTGGGCTTGACAAACCACCTGTACATGTCACAGTTCGGTGGGTGGTGGAAGATGCGAGGACGCAAGTGCAATAATGAAATTAAATAAGCAGCAAAACAAACTACCCTGAGGTGGGAAACATTAACAAATAAACAAACAAACTCGACTGGGCGTGCTGGCAGGGACCAGTGCTGGACAAGGCAGGACTGGAAAAACTAGAGAGGAATGACGTTTGAACTACAACGAACTGGCAAAGGGCAGCAAACAAGTGGAAGCTATAAACAAAAGCAAATTGACAAACAACCAGGTGAACTGAATAAATTAATAATGGGATAACAAGGAGGATGGGACTAGACGATAGACAGGAGAGCACATGACACAAAGGGACAACGCAAGCCATGTGCTCACAAGAAAACAGGACTAGAACACACAACCAATGAGGGAACTCATTTACCCCGTCTTCACATGAAACACAACACTAAAGCACGAGGCCACAATGTAAACACCAGGCCACGTGCTTAACCAGTTAAACTCTGCGGACCCGGTACCAGGTCCGTGACGTCATCGACTTTCGCTTTAAGATTTAAAGGGCTAGCATTGCACCAGACCCCTTTAAGTGGTTTAGTTTGAAAGTGTCGCGTCTATATTTTATGCTCATATGCAGCACATTTTGGTTTTTATACTACTGTACAAAAGTTATTTACACATAAATACACAATATTTTGGATACCCGAGCTGGGTATTTTACATTTGGTTTATTTTCATATTTTTCATATGACACATGTACAAGTTATAGCTCAAATAAAAGCTCTTGCCGGTGCAGAAGTGAAAACAATACATTTATGATCAATAAGCAGCTCCAGATAGCACAAGCAGCTGTCATCTCTTACCTTATGCTGTGCGTTTCAGGGCCATTTCTCCTCTGTTTTTGAGGTGATAAGTGCATAAGTAGGTGCATAAGTAATCCTTTTATATGTCTGACGTGGTCCAAACACAGTGAATTATGTTTGATCAAACAAAAGAATAGTGAAATATGAAAACAATGTTTGATCGTTGTGGCTTGTATAGCACCTCTCATCAGTTGGAATACAATAACTTTTGCATAGATTATGGTGGAGACATTTTTCTTTTTTCCTATGATTACAGACATGTGCAGGAACCACCACAATTAATTACAGCACTCTAGACCACACAGAACCTAAAAGATACACTTTCAAATTTGAGTTTATAAAAAAAATGCAAATTGTACTTTGAAGTGAAGCGCCTCTTTTTTTTTTAGGTGTTTATTATGACACAGAAAACATATACATATATTTTAAACACTTTCAATTGTGTTTTATGAAAATTCAAAGGGTGTTCTTCAAAATGATACCAAAATTGTGCATTTACACTTCTGCATGTGGATTTGGGAAGCTTTTAAATGTGGGTAGGCAAAATCCAGACGGAAATCCAAAATAACAGCAGAGTTTAACTGGTTAAACAACACCAACACAAACAGAACGTAAGACATGAGTACACAATAAATAAAACACTTACTGTTCCTGACATGCATGTTCCGATCCCAGTGCTAACCGAGACCAACTAGACTGGAGCGCTGAGCACGAAAACCACCATGCTTCGAACAAAACAACAAGCACACCAGGACATGAGCGCACATCCCGTGCGCAGCTAAGATGGCGGGAAATATGAATGCATGACCCCAGAAAACTCGAGCTGAGCACAACATTCTAGAAAAGACAGGACTAGTGTCTGGACTGGACCCTGCCACCTTAACAAGAATTATCAAGACCGAAGTAGCAAAATCCTGACAGTACAAACACTTTTCTTTTTATCAAAACACTCCCCCTCCTTACTCTAGCGTAAAGCTGCACGATTCTGGCTAAAATGAGAATCGAGATTTTTTGCTTAAAATAAAGATCACGATTCTCTCACGATTCTGTAGATGTAAAATAAAGGTATGGTAAAAACAAACATATGGCACAACATCGATAATAATATTATGTGTAGGTCTACTGGTTTTTATAAATAATTCTATTCTGCTTATAATAATTCTGATGTTGAATTATTATGTTTGAGATATATGCTTGCAATCTGTCATATTAGACAATTTTATTCACTGGTAAAATCAGACATTTGCCATTATCAGATTATATTCAACAATATATAGGCTAGAGTAGTTATACTGACATTGTAAACATTTATTTTCATGCACAACTGTGTGTTCGCTATGACAGAAAAAACGTATCAAATGCTTGTCGTAATCATAACTCTAAAATGTGATATGATCATTTAAATGAAGTGCACACTTTCGGTTTCATTTTGACAGCTAAGTTCTTGTTCATACTTCGGCGGCATGCAAACGATCCCCCTGTGCCACAAACTGAATATTATTTACAACTGTATTACCTGTTACTCGCAACATATGCAGGTTCTGTTCACTAAAGTAGACTCGCGCGCGTCTATCATTAAGTAGAGTGCGCGCGCCTTCACTGTGATAACAGCTCACGGTCAGCAGTTCAAGTCACGTGTGATTTCCCGGCCGCGAAAACATCATTATATGAAGACAAAAATGACATTTTAGGTGAATTCAACCTTATAATACTGTATGTAACTCATTCAACATCATTTGAAGGTGTCAATGTCACTGAGCAACGTGTGTGAAACAATGAAAAGACTCGTGCAGCTGCCTTTTCTTCTCTCCTGAATTTGAAAATATGATTGACAGAAACGAAGAAATGCTGGATTAAGATCGTCTAGGGCAGGGATTCCCAAACTTTTCAGTCCATGACCCCCAAAATAACAATGCCAGTGACTTGCGACCCCCAATATCTTCTGAGATGGTTATAAATCCAGAAATCAGTTTCCTTTATTTTTATTTATGTCATTCAAATCATCACAATAGAATTGTAATGCAGAACGAAATTACGTTGCAACAGACCCAACAAGAACAGAAAAAACATCACTATAAAAACACTATAAAATCCTAACATGATAAATAAGCTTTTATAATTCCATAAAATATAACAAGTATTATTATATAAGATATAACCCATTTTTTAAAAATCTCTGAAGAGAATAACTTAATACTTAAATACCTATTTCACCATTTGTTGTAATATTAACAATTTATGCTAGTTTAACAGATTTATTTATTATTTAACACTAGCTTTCAACAATGCTTAAGAAATGGTATTATTTAAAAGTCTTATAATGACAGGATAAAAACTCGAAAATCTCGAAACCACACTGATTTGCTCCTCAGACTTCTGTAACGCCTGCCTGATGGCATGAGTGAGAGCAGGCTATGACCAGGGTGGGTTGGATCCCCTAAAATGTTATTTGCCCTAGACAGACAACGGCGTTGGTAAAGTTCCTCGATAGATGTCATTTTGACTCCAACAGACCTTTCAGCTGACTTTATGATCCTCTTAATGGTGTTCTTATCAGACACACTGCTATTCTCATACCAAAGGGAGATGCCATTTGTAAGAACACTCTCAACAGCTCCTCTGTAAAAAGTTGTGAGGATTGATTGGCTGAGATTTGCTCTTTTCAACCTTCTCAGAAAGTGCAGTCGCTGGTGCGCTTTCTTCGCAAGACAAGTGGTATGGAGAGACCAAGTCAGGTTATTAGTAACATGGACCCCCAGGAATTTTATCTGCTGTACAGTCTCCACAGCAGTGTTATTAATATATACAGGGGAATAAGTGGGGCGTTTCTTCCTGAAGTCGATCACCAACTCCTTAGTTTTATCAACATTCAGAACTAAATTGTTTTCCCAGCACCACTTTGTGAAGAGCTTTACTTCCTCCCTGTAGTTCCTCTCATCATTATCCTGGATGAGACCCACTATTGTGGTGTCATCAGCATATTTAATTAATCTTGCATGCAATGGCGCGCACACCAATAGACCCAAGTCTATTCTTGGTTGAATTTTTTGTAATGTGTGTCAGTGCTATAAATAGGCTAAAACAGTTTAACCTGGTGTTATAAAATTAATCTGCTGCATCTGACGCTATTGCTGTGTCTTTAATGTAATGTAATTACCCCGGGGGTTGCAATCCAATAGAACTAGGAACTATAAGCTATAAAGTAACTATATACAGTAGTACATAGTAACTATAAACAACTATTTTTTTTTCTTTTTTTAGTAGGTTATAAATAATATAAGGTAATTCTTATGGTTTATTAAAAATAAATAGATTTTTGGAAATCACCAGGCGACCCCCCTTCAATGTCCGGCGACCCCTCGGGGGGTCCCGACCCCCACTTTGAGAACCACTGGTCTAGGGGGTCGAATCGAGATCGCGATCTTTTAACGATTAATTGTGCAGCTCTACTCTAGCGCTTAATTCTCTTAAAACTAACAGTTCCTTTGTATAATCAGCACATCTTGTGTGTATTTGTAGCGCCCTCACCGCCTGATGAGGGACAATAATGTTAATAAAAACACAGGAAACACGGAGCTGCTGCTGCTTCACGTCAGAGTCTGTGTATTGTTTTTTTAAATTGAATGCACTTAAAAGTATACTTTCACATTGTAGAACAACATATGTAGACATCTTCACAGATATTATAAATATACACATATCACAAAATAATCACATACATATTCCCTGCACATTACTGTTATAAATTACTATAAAGTAATTATGTGATTCTTCCTAAATAAACTATTCACAGTTTAATTATTCTATAACACACACAAAGGCATATAACCGACCTACACATAAATCTCTCTCTCTATATATATATATATATATATATATATACGTTGTAACCAACTATGGGAAATAATAGCACTTTGTGACTTTATAATTACTTTTGTAACAATATTCCCGTTGTTAGTTGTTATGTTGATACATATAATATACATTCACTTGACCGTTTCTACAGTTGGCATTTAAATCATCATATCATCATGTTACCGTTGGAATTACAGTGCAGAGCGTATAAATATATATACAGTTAATACGAACTCTTATATATATTAATATACACTATCAGGTTAATTTAATAGATGACACTTGTTGCTTTCATATCTCTAACGTATATTCAACAAATTTTGATAACGATTTCAATATTTCATACCTGATGAGGGACAATAATGTTAATAAAAACACAGGAAACACGGAGCTGCTGCTGCTTCACGTCAGAGTCTGTGTATTGTTTGAGCAGCAAGCCCCTCCCCCTCATTAGGGATGAAGTAGAAGTAGCCAATCGGAAACATGTAAATCATAGCATCACATTACATTAATTTACAATATTTATTTTCTATTTTCTACTTAATAAAGTGAAAGTGTACAGACTAGAAAGACAAATAAACTTGGATTTTTAATTTCTAATAATTCGTAACCACTTCATAATGCCTCTTCTTGTTAAATCGTTGAATGCCTCCTCAAGTCACTTTGCACAAAAGCATCTGCTAAATGAGAGTCTGTCTGAATTTTCTTCCAAACATACATCTGTGAGAATGAAAGTCAGAATTGTGAGATACAAAAGTTGCAGTTATCTTTTTCATTTTTAATTCCACGGTCAAAACAGGCTTCCATACATTTGCACATCCATGCATTTTTGATCATGAAAAAAACTGTGAAACCTAATGACCCTTTTGACCATTCTCCTTTTTGAGTTTCACCTCCTGAAGTTTTATTTAAAACATCAAAGGATTCAGAAAGAGCGAGAGAGATTGCATCAGTCTGTGCTTTAATCCGTGACGGAGATGAAAACTAGTCTTTGTGTGGAACTGTATTTGGCCTTTGCAACCCATTTTTGACTTTGTGCGGGTGTAAAGTCAGAACTGCTCCCTACAGCTAACTTAATTGCCGTTTTGATTATCCCGTCTTTCTTCAATTGTTCTCGTGCAGAACTGCAAGTCTCTGTGTGCTCAGCCGGTGTCTGTTGAGCTGCCCAGCATCACCTCTGAGCCAAACTTCACCAGCGTGATCGCGGCCGTGACCGAGTTTCAGTCTCTCCTGGAGGACGTCTGCCAGGGAGGATTTGTCAGCATCTCGGAGAAAGGTGAACACACTGGCATTGTGATTTAAATGAGACTTTTCTAGCCGTTTAGAGCTAAATCAATACTTCATTGTGTTGTGAATTTACTCTGGAGTATTGACACTCCTGTTTCGCTTTGCAGTGGATGATGTCACTATTATTCAGAACACAATACCAAAGACGGATTTGGAGTCAAATACAGGTAAGAGTCTCAGTTACCATAATGCATTTAGCTCTTTTAGCAGAGCCAGACAATATCTTTTTTTTTTTTTTTGCTCTTTCTGCGAAGAAATTTGTGAAAAATCTGCAGATTTATGCACAATGATGTTTGTGAGTGTAGCAAGCAATTAAATGTAAAGCATTAAATAAACAAATTACTTTTTAAACTTTTTAAATCAATGTATAACTACTTGTTTGGTAAACCAAAATTCACTCATATATAGTAATATTATTTTGTTTGGGCTTGTTAATTAAAAACTTACACAATAAATAAAAAATTATAACTTTTAAACATTTATAGTTTACTTTAGAGTCTAGAAAAAAATGTATTGTAATGTAATGTTATATATATATATATATAGTTGAAGTTAGAGTTTTTAGCCCCCTGTTTTTTTTTCCCCTAATTTCTGTTTAATTGAGGGAAGATTGTTTCAGCACATTTCTGAGCATAATAGTTTTAATAACTCATCTCTAATAACTGATTTATCTTTGCCATGATGACAGTAAATAATATTTTACTTAATATTTTTCAAGACACTTCTATACAGATTAAAGTGACATTTAAAGGCTTAACTGGGTTAATAAAGTGAACTAGGCAGGTTAGGGTAATTAGGCAAGTTATTGTATATCGATGGTTTGTTCTGTAGATTGTCGGGGGAAAAAATTAGCTTAAAGGGGCTAATAATTTTGTCCCAAAAATGGTTTTTAAAAAATTAATAAAAAGGGGGCTAATAATTCTGACTTAAACTTTGTGTGTATGTATGTATGTATGTATGTATGTATGTATGTATATATATATATATACACACACACACACACACACACACACACATATATATATATATATATATATATATATATATATATATATATATATATGTATATATGTATGTATATGTATATATATATTTATATATATATATATATATATATATATATATATATATATAAATGTGTGTGTGTGTGTGTATATATGTGTGTGTGTGTATATATACATATACATATATATATATATATATATATATATATATATATACACTCCTCCACTAACTACAAAAAAAACTTCTAAAGAATTTATATATATATATATATATATATATATATATATATATATATATATATATATATATATAAAACGGTAAATAAAAAAATTCAAAGGGGAGCTAATAATTCTGAGTTTAACTATATATATATATATATATATATATATGTATGTACACACACATATATATATATATATATATGTATGTACACACACATATATATATATATATGTGAGAGAAGTCAGAGAGGGAGTTTTATATTAGTAAGGAAAGTGGAGACTATATATATATATATTTATTTATTTATTTTTTATTTATTTATTTTTTTACTTTTGTATAGTTTAAAATGTAATTTATCCCTGTAATGCAAAATTGAATTGTTACCATTATTACTCTAGTCCTCAGTGTCACACGATCCTTCATAAATTATTCAAATATGTGGAAAAAACATTTCTATCGTAAAGTTGGAAATTATTGTAAGCAAAATGTTTTGCTGGGAATCTAATAAACATTTGGAATTCTTTGGTTTATAAAAAAAATTTGAATTAGTATAAAATAGTTTTTTGTCTTAAAATACCAAAGTCTAAAGGGCGTCACACACCAGAAGCGACACTAAGCAATGTGCAGCGTCATGCAATTTAGAATTCTAAACAGGTTTATATCAGAGTACACACACCGGCACCGCAAGTCGGTGGCTGTCCGCAGCGCCCAGCCACGACTCGGGATATTGTTCATATTTCTGCCATGCCACAGAGCGTCATCTGAATAGTTTCATGTTAAATATCATGCAAATGTGCACGCCTGGTGTGCATCCTGTCATGTGCGCACCGTGTCGTGGAGCTGAGCAGCACATCCGGTGTGTGATGCCTTGAAGTAGTCAGCTCACCTTGGTATTGACCATAATTTTGTTCTCAATCCTCTTCAGCACCAGTGTTTGGCCAGACAGCACAGATCCCTTTCACCATCAATGTCCCGACAATCAGTGTGTTTCCATTCTCGTCTTTTGGTGAGTATGAGACAAACACTACATTTTAAAAGGTTGACCAATAATTCATACACTGCCCATAATTTAACCAGGTTTGAAGACGTAACTCCTCACACAAGAATTCCAACTAACAATAACTATATCAGCATCCACCCCAATAGCTCATAACAGTATATATATTTATCATTTTCATTCTGCAATTTAGCTGAAACTGAATTCCCATAGGCTGAATGTGCTTTATCACTGGGGAATAAAATGTTCTGGAAATGACACTTGATTTTAAGAACTGGACCTTTATTATTGTCATTATGGCTGTATATCAACCAAACTATTTTTTCTTGAGCTGAGTGTTTGTTTTCTGTTTTCCGTCAATGCTAGCTCCATGTTTTTGAGCGCCTGCATCATAGTGAGGCTCTGAGCCAGCTTTTTACAGTCAGTGCTGATTACTCTGCATTTTTTCAGGCATTGCAAGTTGAAAAACACAGCAGCCTTCAGTGTTATTTTAAAGCTATCTGTCCAATTACAGCGAAGGAGTGGCAGAACAATAACCACGTAACTCATTCAATCATTAATATTCCTCCGACTTAGTCCCTTATTTATCAGGGGTTGCCAGAGCGGAATGAACCGCCAACTATTCCAGCATGTATTTTGCGCAGCGGATGCCCTTCCAGCCGCAACCCATTACTGGGAAACACCCATACACTACACACACATATATATATATATATAAATGTAGAGTTCAGATGCAAAAACCTCTTAGTGCCATTGAATTGCATTGAAATGCATTGAATTAGCATTTTTCTGAGACTCATTCATTTATGTTTACGTATTTTACATTAAAAGCAATAAAAAATAACGTATTAAATGACATAAAAGGGAAATTACTCAACTGATACATAGGAGTTTGAGAAAAAAAAAAAAATATATATATATATACATATATATATATATATATATATATATATATATATAGCTGAGCAAGCATCTTTTAAACTTTAGATCTGTAGTGTCTGCTTTTTGCTGGCTGTATGTGGAAGGAGTAATGCAACTAAGGTTAAAGAGGCTGTATGTGTGCTGATATTAGTTAAATATATCACGGCTATCAGCCAATCAGATTCGAGAACCAGACAGAACTGTTGTATAAATAAAAAATAAATAAATAAATAAAAAAATTATATTTATATATATATATATATATATATATATATATATATATATATATATATATATTTATTAACTACTCTTAAGACTTTTTGTTAAGACCTTTTGTTTTCCAGGGTTTATTTTAAAATAATATAAATAATATTTTAGTGCCAATGCACAAACAAATCTATAAATTGTAAATGTAACTGTGTTTTACTGTATTGTATAGGTGAGTTCATTTGGTACATGCCTTTATTTGGTGTCTGCCAAAGTTAATTTAGCATTTATCAATAAATTACAGTATTGCTTTGATTTGGCTTTGTCATTTTGAAGTACTGATCTACATAGATCAGTGTTTTGAAGCAGATACTGCGGCAGTCACATACAATTGACACATGTACAAGGCTATAAAATTATAATATTCATAACATTAAAGGGCACTGATCTGGCTTAATTTATTGGATTTTAAATATATCTGGTCTAATTTTGACTTTAAAAATGAAGCAGTGTTTACTCAATGCATTCAGATTTAGCGCACTAACTCAATCATGACATTTTGAAGTAGACCTCAAGTTTTTAACATACAGTTGAAGTCAGAATTAGTGTATTTTTCCCCAATTCCATTTTAACAGAAAGGAAAAAAATTCTACACATTCCTAAACATAATTGTTTTAATAACTCGTTTCTAATAACTGATTTCCTTTATCTTTGCCATGATGACCGTAAATTATTATTTGACTAGTTATTTTTCAGGATATTCAGCTTAAAGTGACATTTAAAGACTTAACTAGATCAATAAGTCATTAACTAATGATGGCTTGTTCTGTAGATAATTGAAAACAAATATAGCTTAAAGGGGCTAATAATTTTGAGCTTAAAATGGTTTTTAAAAAATTAAAACTGCTTTTCTTCTTGCCGAAATAAATCAAATAAGACTTTCTCCAGAAGAAAAAATATTATCAGACATACTGTGAAATAATCTGAGGAGGACTAATTATTTTGACTTTAACTGCACATATAATTATCATTACAGTATTGATATAATGTGAATTGGTCTTTAAATTGTGGTTAGTGTCATTTTTGGCCCTTTGATTATTTTTCTTCAGGCTCGAGAACTCAAGGTCCTCGTCAGAGACTGCAGCCCCGCAGGAGACGCCGGTAGCCTTCACATCGCCTGAGAAATGCCTGATCAATTCAGTCAAAAGGCCAAAGTCAGTTTGCCAGAGTTTTGTTTTTTGAACCTGTACATTATGTTCAAAAGTAAAGCTACACTAACTACAAACTCTCACTACTAAATGAGACAGAAATGTAAAGCCAGATGCGTTTCAGTGTCTGCGGTCCGAGTCTCAACGCTATCAACTCAATATATCTTACAAATACAGATGTGCTTGGAGTGAAAGTTTAAATATTGTGTGATATACGAAAAAAAAAGTTTTAATTATTTTAAAACAACTATCTTTTGACTAAGCTGTAATTATTTTGCAAAGTATTAATCATTACACATAATATAGAGTGTTATATTGGTGTATTTTATCAGTGTTTAATCCACTGATGTCGTCTTATCTATTCACAGAAGTGTTGATTTTAGCTTCATGCGTGTGGAATGTATTTGTGTGTATTAAACTATGTTTAAATTGAAGCATTTTAAACTTAAAAGCTTATTTTTCATATCATGAAAAATAAAGATTCTTCCCAGCAGAGTTCAGTGGTTTTGGGGTTTTATTGTAGGACTATAATTAATTGCACTATTTTTATACAATCAAGAGGAGGAGTCAGAGGGGAATGGCCAGACTGGTTCCAGCTGATAGAAAGGTAACAGTAACTCAGATAAGCACTTGTTACAACCGAGGTATGCAAAAGAGCGTCTCTGAATGCACAAAGCGTCCAACCTTGAGGCAGATGGGCTACAGCAGCAGAAGACCACACCGGGTGCACTCCTGTCAGCTAAGAACAGGAAACTGAGGTACAATTTGCACAGGCTCACCAATATCGGGCAATAGAAGATTGGAAAAACGTTGCCTAGTCTGATGAGTCTCGATTTCTGCTGCAACATTTGGATGGTAGGGTCCAACCAATACTAGTAAGGTGTACCTAATAAAGTGGCCGGTGAGTGTATATGTATTTTTTTTCTTTCTAAAAATAGTGTTGGATTATCATGTTGTCATTTTCTTTTATGCAATCCCTCCATTAGGCAATGCATTGACCTTCCATTTACAGTGAACAATTATGCGAACATCTGGATTTGCACAGATTTAGAAAATCTCCATGAAGGGAAAAATAAATCTGTTAATGGAAAATGAACTCTCTGCCTGTAATTTAGATTGAATAATCTAATCTGTGCACGGAATAATCTTGGCCTGTAATATGAGCTTTGTAAAAATATGATGGTCATCTTTGTTCATCTTGTAATTAACCCTTAAAGGGGTAGTTCACTAAAAACGAACATTTACTCACTATTTACTCACCTTTACTTTATTACAAACCTTTATGAGTTTCTTTATTCTGTTGAACACTATAGAAGATATTTTGAAGAATGCTGAAAACTGGTAGCCACTGACTTCCATAATAGGGAATACAAACACTGTGCTAGTCAATGGTTACCAGTTTCAAACATTTTTCGAAATATCAGAATAAAGATTATAATACAGGTCTTTCTTCTTGAGTCTGTTTGGGACCCCCAGAGATACTGTTTAAAGCTTGAGTCTCTTTTTTTAGCAATAGACATTTTTTTAACTATTCTTTTATTTAAAGGGACAGTTCACCCAAAAATTCAAAAAATTACCTCATCATTTATTCTTCATCATGTTGTTTTAAACCTTTATGAGTTTTCATCGTGTGTCAATAAAAAAAGGGATTTTTTTTATGTTGTCAGATGGCACCGATTGACCTCCATAGCAATATTTCTTCCTACTATGGAGATCAATTAGTTCCAAATATCAGAATTAAAAAATATTTATATTTTTACTAAAGGTTATAATAATTAGGTTATATAGTTCAGGTTTTTTTAGCTATAGTTCCTTATATTTTGTGTTTCACAATAATGTCACATTAACATATGTCCATGTATTCGCAAACATTAATGTGACATTATTGTGAAACATGATTTATAAGCAAATATAACACAACATTCACAATAATACCCAATAACACACATTAACAATGAGCAATAATTATATCTATTTATATAAGTACTTTTATAAACTTTACTAATGTTTATCTTGACATTTACCAACATATTCCTTAGTAGATTTGAAACTATGTCTGTTAAAATTAGTGTACACAACTAAAAAGCACAATTATATTAGAGGCATTGTTCACTCCTTTATTTACTCGCTCTTGTTCAAAACTTATTTGAGTTAAATTTTTTTCTGTCTAACAAAGGAAATTATTTCATTTTTAAAAATGCTATTAAATGGCACCAATTGACCTCCATATTAATATTTCTTCCTACTATGGAGGTCAATTGGTGCCAAATACCAACATTTAAAAAAATCTTATTTAGTGTTCGACACAAGAAAAAAACTCATAAATCTTTAAAACTACACGATGAAAAATAAATGATGAGGTCATTTTCATTTTGCGGTGAACTGCCCCTTTAATAAAAAAATTATTATTATCCAAAGAAACTAAAGTTATTAATAATTAAGTTATATAGTTTAGTTTTTATAAGTTATATTTGCTTATATTTTGTTTCACAATAATGTCACATTAACATATGTGTCCATGTATTAACAAACAAAAATGTGACATTATTGTGAAACATAAAATATAATCAAATATAACACCACAACATTCACATTAACACCACAAAACATGAATTAACACTTAAGCAACACTTCAACATTATACATTTTACCAATGCAAATTTCAACATTTACCAACATAATTCTTAGCAAATATAAATATTTTGTCTCCCTTATCTAACCCATTCATTTTAGGTTTTGCAGGCTCTTCTAATGTTCTGATGAGTTGATTCAGGTGTGTTTGATTAGAAAGAGATTGAAAATGTGTACTTTTGGTGTGCCTTCGTGAACAGGGCTGGGAAACACTGATTGAAACCATGAGCTCTATTTAAACGATCTATGTGCAAAGTCTAAAGCGCATGGTGTAAAAGTGTTAAGGGCATGTCCGAATCCACTTTTGGTATTTTAAAGATGGAAAATATGCTCTGTGCATGGTATAACAGGGTTGAGCTTATTCTCTTAATGAGTTATGGGTGTGTTTTGAGCATAACGTGCATTAAACCAATCAGAGTCTTATCTCCCATTCCCTTTAAAGGGTCATGACACCCCCCACTTTCGGTTTAGGTCTACCTCAGAATTTTTTCAAAAGATACATCAAAGTGGGCATGGAGCTTCTTGAGCAAAGGGCAGGAGTGTGCGTGGCCAGTAAGGGAGAAGGAGGGGAGCGAACAACTGTTGTCAGTGGGCTCACAAAATGAGACACAAACCGTGAGGAGACGCATGATTTTATAGTTTACGAAGTTAAAATGCAAAGAAATAAACATTAATGCCCTGCTACATTTTTTATTCATAATTTCATATACAGATAACCACAATTTATATCATTATAAAGATAATCATGTTCATATAAACACAATGAGGACTTTCCCTCAATCTCTGTGTTTGAATCATAGGTCTGAATGCAGACTCAGTGCAGCAGGTCTCTTGCCCTGTCTATTTTAACCATTAGCCCAGTTGGCAATCTAGAGGATTTAGGTAAATGCAGCAGCATGGCGATGTGTCTAAATGTGAACGAACTCCTGATAAAAGACAAATTTCGCCATTCTTCAAATCTCGTACTGCTATCCTGACAAAAATTCTTGCTGCACACAAACAGCTTTGCTGTATCGGCCCTGACAGGATCAAGGGGGAAAACATGCAACAAACCCCGTAGATCATGGAAACAAACACACACGACCCTTCATGAACAGTTAAATACTGTGTGCCGTGGGTCCGTGTCTCGCAGCTTGGCACTTGCAAGTCTGCCTTGCCTTCGGAAAGCACGTGCAGTCATGAATAAGAAGCCGGCTCTTTTCATAGGATAAGAAAACTCCGCTATATGAATGATAATGAGAAACCGACGTGTCATCTTTGCACTTGCAGTTTTGCGCCACGTCACCGATTTTGATCCCACCCCAAAAATCATTTTAAACCTGGAAGGTGAAATTAGCTAACAGAAGCTCAAAATGATCCAGTTCTCCCCACAATTAAAGCTGACAGATGCTAACATTGTCTTAACTGATGCTCAACACACACAAATCACAAAGTACTCAAGGGTTTTGTGAACCTTTAAGAGTCAGTTGCATTGCGTTATGGCGCATTTGCTATTTACATGGTGGACCTTGTTAGTGGAAAAGCGCTTCACTAGCGAGAAAACAGTTAGCTAAAGGAGAAAGAATGAGCCTCCTCCATTCGGCCTCTTTACTTTCTCTTTATTTTACTCCTTTACTTTCGTGGATAAGGTTTTGTACTCACTCCACTGAAGACTTTGATTAGCTTATATATTTAATTTTGTTTAAGCATAAAGATTTGTTTCACAACTGTTTCTAAATTCAGTTCTAATTTACAGCAAACAAATAAAAGAACAATAATAACAAAATGTGGTCAATAATATCCATTATATTCAAACACACGTCCTATTCCTATCCCCCATATGGTGATGCATACATCTCCAAAACCCAAGTGGACAAAACTAAAGTGTTTTAATTAAAACAAATATAAATATTCATATATTAAATAATACTGCTGATAATAATAATATTATTCAAAGATGAAACCCCGAGATGGTGTTTTTAAAAAAAAAAAAAAAAATTATATATATATATATATATATATATATATATATATATATATATATATATATATATATATATATATATATATATATATGTAGAAAATAATTATGTAGAAAATAATTATTTTTGTAACATTTTTATTAACTAATGTCTTTCCTATGTAAAGTTATTTGTGTGTTGCTGTACGTGCTGTGTGTATTAAGCAATATGTAAGTGTTTGGACCCGCATAGGCGCATAACATACGCACTCTGTGCTGGACTTTTACGAAACCCCGGAAGGGACGTAGTGGAGGAGAAAAAATTGGCTGGGTGAAAAAAAAATAATGGGTGAGAGAAAAAAATAGGTGGGAGTAAAATATATATTTTTACGTTTTTGCGTTCCCTCGCAAAGTTTTTGCGTTCCCTCGCAAAACTGTTTCTCCACAAACACTTCCTGTTCACTTCACTCATGTAAACCCTCCCGTTTTTGCTGAAATTTTCCCCTATTTTACCCTTCTATCCCACTTTCTTTACATTACTGTGCGTCGATCATCGCCTTTCATATGCTACCTCTGAATATGCATGTATAAGCGCTGACTGACAGATGCGCTCCATACAATAAACTGATCCCAGATCAGCGTCTGTACACGCCATTTACAGAGGAGCACAGAGGAGCGGGTGTATGTTTAAACAGACAAATACACTAAATAATATGTAAACATCTCCGTCCTGCATGTTTTATTTTAAATTGCTAATTTTCTCTTAAATGAGCACAAATACTTTCTCAAGTAATGGACTGCTTTCATTATTGATCTGTTCATTCTTACAGAGACACCTCGGTTATCAAACGAAATAAACCATGAGATTCATTTGCTGCTCACTTGTTTGATAACAGAAGTGTCCCTTTAATGGCGCGTACAGACGCTGATCTGGGATCAGTTTATTGTACGGAGCGCGTCTGTCAGCGCTTATACATGCATTCACTGGTTCAGAGGTTACAAAATGAAAGGCGACGATCGACGCACAGATTTAATGTAAAGAAAGTGGGATAGTATGGTAAAATATGGGAGAATTTCGGCAAAAACGGGAGAGTTTACGTGAGTGATGTGAACAGGAAATGTAGTGGAGAAACAGTTTTGTGAGAGAACGCAAAACGCCTTTGAGAGGGAACGCAAAAAATCTTTGCGAGAGAATGCAAAACTTTGCGAGGGAACGCAAAACATCTTTGCGAGAGAACGCAAAAACTTAGAATATATTTTCCTCCCACCCATTTTTTTCTTTCATCCATTTTTTATTTTCACCCAGCCAATTTTTTTCTCCTCCACTACGTCCCTTCCGGGGTTCCGTAGATTTCAGACCTGCTTTTAGATGGTCAATAACGCGGTCTATTTCAGTTCTTCAAAACAGCTACGTGCCAACAATGCGCCTTAACACCTCCTTTATAGACCAGCACACCCATGAGTCCACAAAGTGGCTTAAATGGATTAGCTATTTAAACAACGTAATGCAAAACATGAAAATTAGGGTTGCGCTAGTCTGAAAATAGCAACAAATCACACCAAACACGGGTGTTTGATAGGGCCCTCCATATTGACCTAGGGACCAATTGACCTCCATAGTAAGATTTCATCCTACTATGGAGGTCAATCTGTGCCATTATTATTATTATTTTTTTTTGTTCAATACAAGAAAGATTCTCATAAAAGTTTAAAACCACATGACAAAGAATATATGATAAAGTCTTTTTTATTTTGGAGTGAACCGTCCCTTTAAATTTATTATCAATTACTTCTTCATGTTACTGTAGTTCATGCATGAACAAACACCAGAGATCTCATTGTGCTTTAATATATGTATGTTGCATGTAAAGCAAGCTCACGCACCTGCTACTTTCCATTTGCATGAAAGCAAAAAAGAAAAAGTGCCCTATTCGTGTTCATGTCTGTGATTGGCTGCTTCCGGCAGTTTTGGACTGAAACCTGATAAGCTTCTGTACCTGCATGACATTCACGCCCAGTTTATACACAAACACTCTTTGTTTCGTCCTCTCTCTGTCCTGTCCAGCTTTCTGTAGTCATTTCCCTCTGCTTTAACCACACACACACACATTAAAAATGGCAGGGACAAACATCTCTATCGATAAAGAGCAATTCTGCTGCTCGGTGTGTTTGGAGGTGCTCTGGGAGCCGGTCACTATTCCCTGCGGACACAGTTACTGTATGGAGTGTATTAAAGGTTACTGGAGGAAATGCGAGGTGAAAGAGGAGTACAGTTGCCCTCAATGCAGACGCACGTTCAGCCCGAGACCTGCCCTGTCCAGAAACACCATGCTGGCTGACATTGTGGAGAAACTGAGAAAAAGCGGTGTTCAGGATGTCAGTGCGAAGGCCTCGGATGTGGAGTGTGACGTGTGCACCGGGAAGAAACACCGAGCGGTGAAGTTTTGTGTGAAATGTCAGACGCTGTACTGCGAGATTCACCTGAAGCCTCATAATGAAAGAAATCGAGGGAGAGCGCATCAGCTTATAGAAGTCACGAAACAGCCGCAGAAAAGAGTCTGCGCGCGTCATAATAAATTGCGGGAGGTTTACTGTCGGACGGACCAACAATGCATTTGTGGTTTGTGTTTAAAAGATGGACACAAGGGGCACAGCGTGGTGTCGGTGATTGAAGAGAGGACAGAAAAACAGGTAATAATACAAAAAAATGGCATGAAGATAATCGCTGAATGACAATGTAGAGTTTTATGATGATGTAACTCTTGAATGTTTGGCTTTTGAAATAGAAACATCTAGAGGAGGCCTGGAGGAAGTCCAAACAGAGGTGTAGAGAACGAGAAAAGGAGCTGAGGGACATTGTAAAATATATCAAGGTTGGTCTTTTGTCGTTGTGTATAATATAATCATTTAGTACAGTACGTTTGCTATGCAGGCAGTATCTTTTGGTCATTGGATTTTTATTTTAGAAAGAGATAATGAAAAACAAAAAACGAGCCAATGTTGGATTTTCGTTTTCAAATTTAAAAACGAATATTAAAATACGAGGTGTTTTTTTTTCATGTTGAAAAACGGAAAAGCAAAATTCAAAAATGATTTGATTTAATTTTTTATTTCAAATACCAAAAAATTAAATCACCAGAAAACAAAAAGGAATAAAGGCTTGTTTTATTTTATATTCTGAAACCATATAGGCAGACTCATTTGTGATGGGAAGTTCGGATCATTTAACATCGAGATGAATGAATCTTTTTTCGAGTCATTTCGTTCATTTGGTTCAATTTGCCAAAATGTTATTAAAATGTTACGAATTGCGGCGAGGCAGTGGCACAGTAGGTAGTGCTGTCGCCTCACAGCAAGAAGGTCGCTGGTTCGAACCTTGGCTCAGTTGATGTTTCTGTGTGGAGTTTGCATGTTCTCCCAGCCTTCACGTGGGTGTCCTCTGGGTGCTCCGGTTTCCCCCAAAGTCCAAAGACATGCGGTACAGGTGAATTGGGTAGGCTAAATTGTGTGTGTGTGTGAACGTGTGTGTGGATGTTTCCCAGAGATGGGTTGCGGCTGGAAGGGCATCCTCTGCGTAAAAAAACTTGCTGGATAAGTTGGCGGTTCATTCCGCTGTGGCGACCCTGGATTAATAAAGGGACTAAGCCGACAAGAAAATGAATGAATGTTACGAATTGCTTCCAAACACATCTACAACTAGCCTAAAAGGTTGATCACACAACAAATAAGTCATGAATAGAATACTATCAGAAGGAGAAAATAATAAATCAATGTTTACCTGCTGTTTTGTCTATGATGCGCCTTTGCTCAACTCACCTCTTCATGTCTTCAAATGTCAGGGGTTCGTTCACGTTACACTGACAGTCACATATAATCTTAACCAATGTACACAGTCTGAGTCGAAAGGAGCCATGAGAATTAGTTCACCTTTCAAGTCTTCTGGTTCTTGAGTCGTTCGTTCATCAAGTGACACAATGACTTAAACCTGAGAACTCGAGAGTTGAACCGATCAATTATTTTTTCGGCTCTAAACACATATGATTGGCTTCTGCCTTATTGCGATGAACGACTCAAAAGACTTGAAATGAACGATACCACCTGCACAAACGTGCGCACGCGCGGATAAACAAATCACTCCCTGAGAGGACTCGTAGTTCTCGAGTCATATTGAAGATTTGTTCAAAATGAACGAATCGTTTATGAACGACCCATCACTACGACTCATTCACGGTAACACAATGCTGCCGCACTCAGGCTAGCCTACTATAAGCTATAATTACATCACCCAGCGTCTTTGATTAATCTTTTTTATGATTGTGAAGATTCAAATAAAAATTTGGGAAGATCTATCATTGTATGTCCAAAAAAAATCAGGTTTTATTCGTAATTTGACCCCCAAAAATGTTATATTGTTTCAAACTATTTATCCGTGGAATTTATAATGAATCTTTTAATTTGATTTAGTAAATTTTGTTCATAAATGCAGATTAAATAACTCTAAACCTTGTTTAAAGTTTGCTATTATAGATTTTCATTTGTATATAGAATCGCTCCAATATATTAATTGGGAAAAATGTAAAAAATACAATTATAGTGGCAAAGGAGCTGAAGTTAATTGACTATTAAACTTGCTGTCAATTGAATAGGTTAAAGTAATGTCGTTGTTAAGATCTCTATGTTGAATTGTCTTTTTATTTATTTAATTTATGCAATTTATTTTTTATTTTATTTTATGTTATTAATTACATTAGTATTTTTGGATGTCCTGTTTAAATTGTATATTTGCTGTTGTTTAATTAATAAATAAAAAAAAAAAACTATAAGCTATAATTTTTTCCTCATTAAATACAATTCATGTATTAAAAATCAGTAGGTTATGCTAGAAAATTGACTTAGTTTTTTAAAATTGCTTCTTTTTACTGTCATTCAATGTGTTTTTGGTCAATATCAATCCATGCATTATAACTTTGAGCGTAGGCAGCGCTGCAAAAGTGACCATCAGAACAGCTGGCGCCGAATAACTCATATTTGTAAAAAAAAAACAAAAAAAAAAAACAAAGCCTATTCATGCATTTTGTTCATTTTATGAATTATTGTATAGCTTTTAATGTTTTAACTTAACTTAGGCTGCTGCTATATAGGGTATATGCCGAGCTAGAGCTGTTCCCATACTGATAAACTTTCGGTGACCTGTTATTGTGAATTTTTCCATTTTAAACGGTTCCTTTTACAGCATCGATGTTGTGATGTAATCAAAATACACTCAGTTAAATAAACTTTAGCATTCATTTAGTTACTCCAGCGTAAAACGTGACAAAAAGCCGTTTATTCACACGCGCCAGACAGAATCGACAGGCTAGCGCAGAAGCTCCATTGAATATATTGGAGTAAAATAAATGCTCATGTTATAAAGATATGGCGGGGGAAATATAATTTAATGCAGTGCTTCTTGTACAATCTGAGACCCACTTTATATCAGATATTAATCAGCCAGTGGAGATGGCTGGTTTTTAAAGAAAACAGACATTAAACGTGCCAATTTTTGCATTGGCATACAATTCACCGGAAGCTCTTAACCCGGTTTACTGACAAATTAAAAGTCCTATTAGCATGCTTCAGCATATACCCTATTTGCATTTGGCTATATGAAATTATGGATAGACCTACGGTGGCAGGGTGATGACATATACACACAACTCATCCGCTGCTTTAGTGATAGTCCATTTTTAAAAGACATGGGATGCTTATCAGGGTGTTTGTGCAGCATGCTTCCTTTCAGATAAAATTAATTGTTCATTTTAAAATACTTATTGAAATGTGAGTAACGAACAACTGTATTGACGCTTCCCTCACTTCAAATGATTCGTGGTTAAACTTCAGGAAGTGGAAGTATTGTGGTTTTAACAATATTGAAACGTTCAGTAACGTAATGCTTCTATGTAACGTCAAAATAAAGGTTGTTTTATTTAAAACATGCTAGAAAAAAGTATATATATAGCCTATAACCGGCCCTTATATAAGAAATACTTCATCTTAATGAGGAAAATATGTCTTAACAAAATCCCGTTATCACAAGAAAATACCATTTATAACATTATTAAGTGGAAAAAAATAATAGCTTATAGCAGGCTAGCCTGTGCGTGGCAGCATTGCGTCATCGTGAATGAGTCGACCTATCTGGTTTTGGAATATTTTTAAAAAAAAACAAGTCTTTATTCGTTTTTATTTTCTGGTGATTTTATTTTTTGTTATTCTGATTTTTTTAAATTTTGCTTTTCCATTTTTAAACATGAAACAGAAAAACGCCTCGTATTTAATTATTTGTTTTTGAATTTGAAAACGAAAATCAAAAAACGGCTCGTTTTTCAATACCTGTTTCTAAAATGAAAATCCAATGACCGAAAGATACACTAACCCATTGGCTTTCTTTTGATAGATTTTTTGTGGTTCTCTTTTAGTGATTTATGTGAATGTGTGAACACAATAATATAGTGGAAGTGATCGCAATAGAAATGGTTTTAAATATAGTCCCTTGTACTGTTCATTGTCTAAAATGACCTTCATATGAAGCAGGAGTCAAACTATTTTTGAGCAGTGCAGTCTACAAAAGGCCAGTAGCAATGGTTAATAATTACACAGAGGCAATGAGCTTGCAGGTCTTTTGAACAATCCAACATTTTTCTTATTAGCTCTTGAAATAATGGCACAGTAGGTAAGATTTTATTCAATAATATATCCAGAAATCACATGAACAGCATTACTGTATATATTTTGCTGACTTATGTACTTACATCATCAAAATATACAGGCCTGTAGCCAGCTCACTGAAAGGGGTGATTCTTTTTTTCTCAGAAAGTGGATGTTTTTGCGGTTACAGGCCTCATTTAGCCTACTATATAACTGAGATGTAAATACTGCATTTTAGTACTTTTATATTTAGTACTACTATTTTAAGTGCTGTTTTAGCTTAAATAAACTGTCGGATGGTCATCATAATCACAAAAAATACATTTGAAAATTCATGGTTAACAACAATAGCCAAATGGTCGCTTTTAGTGCTTCACACCTTTACATTGGTCATTTTTATTTCAAGAATAGGTCCAATATTTACAATAAAAGTTACTTGTGAAAAATATGTTTTAGTTAAAAATAATACAGTAGCGAAAGATGACTTCACTTACATCAGATTGTATGTTTTTTTGCACAGCTGGATGCTGAACTCATGAAAAACAATTGTGTGCACTGGCCAAAACTAATTAGCTGAAGTCACACTGAAGCCACAGACAACAGAGGATTAAACTTGGTCTTAAAACCTTTTTAGGTATACATATGTACACAAATATATATATAAAACAAATATAAGTCTTATTTGTTTATATATATTAGGGATGTAACGGTATCAGAATTTCACGGTACGATAATACCTCGGTATGAATGGCACGGTGCGGTTTTTATTGAATCATTTACAGGAAAAACAAAACTAATGAAAAGACTCGAAAAAAGTGCCAAAAGTGTTTATTTACCTTAGCACTGAACATATCAATGACATACAAATTTGCCATCTATCTGTAAGTTTCGAAACAGGAACTTCAATTTTTCAATTTTAATAACAAAAAATTATTAAACCATATAAAAAAAATTAAGTTTCAATTTAGTATTGTTGAAAACTCATCACATTCAACATTTAATCACTCACTCACTTAGATAGAGATGTTTTTTTAAGGAAAATTATCATATAACTATAATCTGGTAAAAGCTGGGATCTCTGGGCATGTCCCCTGCAACAGAAAAAAAAAACCCTCTCATTTGGGACTGAGGTTTCTGGGACAGAGATATATGATTTAGCCAAGGTTGACAGCAGTGAGTAACGTTGTGCATTGTCTTTCCACCACTTGAGAGGACAAGCCATGAGTGAGATAGAGATCTCTTTGCAGTTCAAGTCAATGTCTGCATTAATCTAACAAGTGTGCTGTGTTCTGCAGTCCCCATGACTGTTTTTAGTCGTATTCCCCGACTTATATTTCACCACAGTCTGGCAGTGCCTGCATACTGTTTTTTTCTTTGTCTGTCACCTTTTCTCCTTTTTTGTATCTTTTGTGAAAGAAACCGAAATGCTTCCACATTTAAAACCCGCTTTAGGTTCGATCATTTCCAGCTCTTTTTCTTCCCCGCTACTAGCAGCACACTCCATTTCTGCCATACTGGATCTGTAGAGACAACAGACCGCAAAGGATGATGGCTACGCCTAGGCTGATGGGAATTGTAGTTCCCGCTACCTCCCGTTCGCTTCATTCGCCTAAGCAAACTTTTCTAAGAAATATAGTTTTATTGAGTCATGCGCCTACGGTAATATTGAAAAAAATTACTATGACGGTATTTACAATATTGTTACATCCCTAATATATATATATATATATATATATATATATATATATATATATATATATATATATATATATATATATATATATATATATATAATTTGGTCCCTAAAATGTTTTTTTCAAAATTTAAAATTGCATTTATTCTAGCCAAAATAAAACAAATAAGACTTTCTCCAGAACAAAAAAATATTATCTGACATACTGTAAAAATCCTTTAGGAAATATTTAAAAAAGAAAAAGATCAAAGGGGGGGCTAATAATTCTGACTTCAACTGTGTATATATATTTTGAATTAGATTTTTTTTTTATATTTCCCAAAATGAGAACCCCTGCTGTAACAGTATTATTATGCCCTGTAAGTGAAGAGGATGAATCTGTCAAACCGTGTTTTGTGTGGCTGCTTTAGCGTTCAGCTCAAGCGGTTGAGGAGGACAGTGAGAAGATCTTCACCAGACTTCAGCGCACCACTGAAAGAAAGCATTCAGAGGTCAAAGAGCTGATCAGAGGAGAGGAGAGGACTGCACTCGGACAGACTGAGAAACTTCTGGAGCGACTCAATCAACAGATAGTTGAGCAGCGAAGAGGAGAAGCTGAACTAGAGGCGCTCGCAAACACTGAGGATCATATCCATTTCCTACAGGTATGAAATATTAGTCTGTTTGTACCGGAGGTTATGATACTGCATGCACAACAATATGAGAGCAAAGGGTGAAGCTAAAGGAAAGAGGTCACATTCAGTGTATTTATTAGGCAAAAATGGGCCAGTGAATGAGAAGGTGTGGTGTTTGTTTTGTTCCTGTCAAGGTTATTTTAGTAAATGAAAAGTAAAACTAAGACTTAGGGCGTACTCACACTATGCACAGTTGCCTTGAACCGGGCTAAAGAACGCTTGTCCCCCTTCCCGTCTCCCCCAATGGCCCGCACTCACATTGCATTCGGGCTTGGGCACACTTACGTCATCGATGATCGTCGTCGTTTAGTTCATTTTATATGCAGTGACACGCAGTCAGATATTTCGCAGAACAGATCAGCCACTTTTGATGCTCATAAACAATCATAAAGTCCTGGGGCCTCATGTATCAACGCTGCGTACGCACAAAAACTTTGATACGCCAGGTTTCATGCTTAGAATCGCTCACGTTTGGATTTACTAACGATGAACTGAACGTGGGAATGTGCGCAGCTCCACGCCAGCTTCATGGCTGGCGTACACACATTTTTTGTGCGTGTCTGTTTTATTTCCATTGGCGACTCCTAGAGGCAGTTGTGTTAAATTCCTCTCTACAAAGTGTCTGAGCCTTGCAATGGCAGCTGTATGAGACGGGTTCATCTAGCAGGTATATAAGGTACCATACCATACAATTGACCAGCTAAACATTAAAGCACAATTTGCTGCGGTCGCCTGTTTTCCCAATGTAATCTGAGCTATTTACTGCACGCACATTGCTATAAAGACACTATCTGAAGATGAATTTGCATGCGTGAATCAGAAACATTTCCATTCAATAAATGTGCAAATAAAATATGATGCACAAACTTATTAATGATTCCTACTTGTCTTTCTCGTGATAAATAGTTGGCAAAATCTGATATGTAGCGGGGGGAAAAAAGAAGAAAGAGTTCATCGAACGCTGGATTCGAACCGAGTTCATGCTCGAACATGTCAAAACATGTTGACATGCGTTTAACAAGCTGGGCCACTGAGACTGCTAAGGGTGCTGCAACCTTTTACACATATAAACCACACTATGTCTTTTTTAAAATTCACTCAGTGCGATGTTCAGACCCAACTGTGTTGACCGCATCAGCTAAACTCTCCCACTCTATTTTTTTCTTTTGTTGTTTATTCCGGAGAACAAACTTGCAAATAACACCGCTTTTCTCCGGTCTACCTCCGAAAGCAGCACCTCCAATTCACATTCTGTTCAAAGTTTCTCTTTTGGCTTGCTTTTGCCGTTGCTTTTTCGTTGGGTTTTGCCAAAGTAGAGTCATTAGCATATTCATACGGGGGAGGAGGCAGGGAGGGGTTTTGTGCTCGTGCATGTTGCGCTCAGTTTCACGTTCATTCAGATGTACAAAAGAATATGCATAGGATTCGGCGTACGCAGTGTTTCATACATCTGAATTTTTTTCTGCGTTCGCACATTTACAGCTTTGTGCGTACGCAATGTTTTAGTAAGATTTCCACGCAAGTCTTCGTACATGAGGCCCCTGGTGCTGCAGGAATTAGGAGGTTTGCTGTTGGTGCAACTGTCATGGAGTGAGGGGTTTGCCTTTTTAATAAACTACGACAGTTTGCGTTCACTGAACAGTGAGAATGATTAATAAATCCATATGAAAAAGCCCCTTAAAAGTCACGTCTCGCTTTTAGCTTTGGGCTCAGGCACGTTTTGCGCTCACACACAAGCGTACCACACCAAAGCCCAAGTAAACAGGTACACCTCTTCCAACCGGGCCAGGGCCGGCCAAGTACCCATGCCTGAGCCCGATTCAGAGCACTCACACTTCTCAAACAATTTGGGAAACATGCCTGGGCACGGTTTGTATAGCATAGTTTAAGTAGGCCTCAAGGCCATGTCCACACTAGAATGTTTTTGTTTATGTATTATTTTCTCTCTGCTTTGGCCTTTCATCCATAGTGACGTGGAATTTTTAAGAAACAAAAACGTATCTTTTTGAAAACGCTGACCAAAGTGGATAAATTTGATAAAGTGCACTGTAAAACAAAAACAAAAAGATGACTCAACTTAAAATTAAGGCAACAAACTTCAGGACACATTTAAGTTTACTCAACTTTTAACCTAGTTACTGCAAAATGAAAACAAAAATGTCCTGAAATTTGTTGCCTTCATTTTAAGTTGAGTCAACTTTTTTTTACAGTGTGGATACATTTGTTTTGCAGTATGGACTGTAAAAATGGAGCTTTCGAAAATAATTACACATTTTATTCATGTGACCAATTCAGCTAACATGGTGGACGACCTTGTAAATGCAGATGTTTTGAATTCGGTCCATTTTGACAGCTTCATTAAAGATTAATGCCAGTTTGTACATGCTCAATATTGGCTCTCTTCAAAGGACACCGAATGTTTAAAGGAAGCTTTTGTTCAGTGGTGAAAGCAGACAACAATTGTGACATTTTGCCGAAACATTTCAAAGAGACAGAAAGTAAATAAATGGCAGGTGGATATGGTGGAGGCAAAAGCATCTTACGTCTGTGCACATGCGCAGTACATGAATGAAAGCATTGTACAGACGTTTTAGTGTGGATGACCATTTTTCTGGAAGGAATTAAAAGCAATAGTGTGGACACGGAGTGTTTTTAAATGTTAGATTAGTGTAGACCAAAAACTTTAGGTCAAAACATTTTATTAGAAAATGTTGTTGAAATAAAATAAACAAGTTCACAATAAATGAAAAACTAAGTAGTTGGAAGTGGCTTTGGGTGTGGGTTTATTAACAAAAATTTTCCCACCGCTGTTGAAATTTCTAGCTGAAAATTATTGATCATCATATTATATCTGTGATCATATCTCTATAATCACAGATCATAAAAATGTCTGTACAGGCGTACCTGTTTCAGACAAAATCTCTTCAAAGTGATTCACATTCAACGCAAATCAAATGCGGTGCTACGCAAACTGTTCGCTCTAGTCTCAAAAAAAAAAATCCTGCTGCGTGCACCCAAAGCAAATCTCCGCAAACGTCACGATGACGTCACATTTGTTTTATTACTGATGACGCGCACTCAAGCGAACGCATCGAGTACAAATCAGCCATTAATGGCCCATTTTCACTGAGTGGTTCGATATAAAATAGAAATAAAAACTCATTCAAAAAAAGCATAACTGTAATATTATTGGTTCCTGTTCACTGCCATTCTACCTTTACCTGTGGGCCTCTCCTGTGCAGAACTATAAGATGCTCTGCGCGCCTCCTGACGCCGGCGGTCGACCCAGCATTGATGTCCATCCGTATTTCTCCTTGCTGATTTTGAGAAAGGCCCTCACAGAGCTGACGGATAAAGTGGCTGAGATCTGCGACAGAGAAGCAGCCAAGATCTCAGAAATCGGTGAGTGTGAACACAGCGGATGCTTAGGAGTGTGTAACGGTGGAGGTACTGGAATGCACTTTAATACATGAAAGAAATGGATCGATGATAAAATGAAAATGAATAATTTCAATATGTTACCCTGGACCGCAAAAACAGTCAAAGTGTCAGTTTTTTGGAAATTGAGATTTAGATATTACCTGAAGTCTGAATTTATAAAGCTTTGCACTGGTGTATACTTTCAAGTCAAGTCGAGTCGAGGTTTAATATCATTCCGCTACATGTGTGGACATACAGAGGAAAGAAATGTCATGTCTCACAGGACAACAGTGCAACATAGATTAATCTGAAATATAAATACAACTCTGGACATAAGAGCTATTATAAAACCCTATGCATAACTAACAGATACTATAAAATAAAACACTTAGGGCTCTATTTTGACGGTCCATGTGCAAAACGCAGGGCGCAAACGCTTTCAGGGCGTGTCAGAACGCATTTTTGCTAATTTAAGAACGGGAAAATCCGCTTGGCGCTGTGGCACATGGTCTAAAAGGGTTGAGTTTATTCTCTTAGAAGTTAAAGGTGTGTTTTGAGAATAAACAAATCTCATAGAGTCTCATCTCCCATTCCCTTTAAGAGCCAGCTGCGTCGCGCCTTAAGCGCATTCGCTATTTACAGGATGTAAAGTAAGTGGAAGTGGAAAAACTGAGCATTTCACAAGCAAACAGTTAACAGTTTTTTTTTTAACAGAAAACAGTTAAACAGAGCATCTACTGCGTGAGAATGAGAGATAATCAATCTACTTTCACCTTTTCGCCTTTACGCACATCAATTAGTCTATAAATAATTAATTTTGTTTGTTAAGCGCAAAGATTTGTTTCAAAACTATTTCTAAATTCAGTTCTAATTTCCAGCAAATGAATAAATGAACAATAATAACAAAGTGTCTTCAAAAACCTGAGTTATATCCTAAAATACATGCTGTGCTCCATATGGTCTAAAACCTGACAGGTGGGCAAATCTAAGCTTGTTTTTAATAAAACAAATATAAATATGGATATAATAAATAATACTGATAATAATAATAACATTATACAAAAGCAAATTGTTATGAATGAACTGAAAAAGCCTCCCGAGATGAAGAAGACATAAAAGCAGTGATTTTTCATATTTATGTAGGCTAGAAAATAATATGTTTTGTAATATTTTAAGCGAGGCGCAACTCTGCGCCGGAGTTTAGACCGGGTTAGTTTTGGTCTAATGAAAAATCTATTTTAGTTTCTCAAAATAGCAACGCGCCAGCCGTGCACCTCAGAACGCCTTCCTTTTTAGACCAGAACGCCTATGGGCGCACATATGAGCACTAATGCATTTGCTATTTAAACAGCGTAGCGCAACGCCTCAAAACGACTCTTGCGCCAAGCTGAAACTACCAAAAGACTATTGCGCCGCACCTTGCGCCACACTGCACTAGGTGTATGATAGGGCCCTTAAACTGTACACATAAGACAGGCGATACAAGTATTTTTACATGAGTCTGAACAATGTTGTTCAGGCTATTGTGCAAGAGAGATATCAAAGGAGAATATTGCACAAAAGAGCTATTTCAGATTTAATATTGTGCAGAAGAGGTATTCAAGGTTAAAGCAGTGCAACATGATTGTGGTACTTATAGTGAACATCGCCTACATTTTTGAGTCCTTGTAAGATGGAGTTTAGATCAAGTGTCAGGTGTATAAAAAAGAAGAGTGTTTCAGCAGGTGGTTTGTCAAGCCCACTCACCTATGTGCAGCAAAGAGTTCGGTTCAGGCGGTAAACAACGGAACAAAGCAAGGGTAGGCAAGGCAAGGACAATGTGTCGTAATGCTAACTAAAACAGATAAACACGACTCTAATGAGTGTGTCTGTACTATTTTTAAAGTCCATGAAATTATTTAATTACAATTATCTGGCTGTGTGTGTGTGTGTAATCAATATGAAACAGGAACCGGTGTGTGCAAGGTGCATTCTGGGAGTTATAATCCATATGGTGATTGGATTGTAGTCAGAGTAAAAGTGAATGAATCCCAGCGTTCTATAAGGGCTGGATCGCTGGTGATCGTGACACTTAAGAGCATGAACCTTTATGAGATTCTTTATTCTGTTGAACACAAAAGAAGATATTTTGAAGAATGTTTGGAACAGGTAACCTTTGCCTTCCATTGTAAGAAAAATAAATGATGTGGAAGTCAATGGTTACCAGTTCACATGATTTTTCAAAAAAACATTTTTTTGTTTTCAAAAAAAAAAAGATAATCAGACAGGTTTGTGACAAGAGAAGGGTGAGCGACAGAATTTTCTATTTTGGGTGAATTATGCCTTTAATTATGACAAAACAGTGCAATAAGAAAAATAAATACAAACCATTTTTGGCGGTTCATTCCACTGTGGCGGCCTTTGAAATAAAGAATGAGCTTTTTTTATTTAGTTAATCACTTTACAGATATTTATAATATGTTTTCGAGCATGTTTTTTAACATAAATAAAAAAAGCATGGAGAAACAAAAGAATAAATTAATATGTACGTTTTTTATAGGTAAACATTTGATGATTTACATATACAGCTAAACAACAAATGATTCACATACAGTTGAAGTCAGAATTATTCGCCCCCCTGTTTATTTTTTTCCCTAATTTTTGCTTAACTGAGAGCAGATCTGTTTCAACACATTTCTAAACATAATTGTTTTAATAACTCATCTCTAATAACTGATTTTTTATCTTTGTCATGATGACAGTTAATAATATTTGGCTAGATATGTATCAAAACACTTCTATACAGCTTAAAGTGACATTTGAAGGCTTAACTAGGTTAATTAGGTAACAATGGTTTGTTCTGTAGTCTATCGGAAAAATAGCTTAAAGGGGCTAATAATTTTGTCATTAAAAGGGTTTTTAAAAATTAATAGCTTCTTTTATTCTTGCCAAAATCAAACAAATAAGACTTTCTCCAGAGGAAAAAATATTATCAGACTTACTGTAAAAATGTCTTTGCTCTGTTAAACATCATTTGGGATGAATAAAAAAAGGGGAAAAAATCAAAGGGGGGCTAATAATTCTAACTTCATCTGTATGTTTATTGCTGAACAACAAGCTGATTCTGTCTTTTTTCGGTGACATTCTGAGTCCTCCACAGCCACACCTGTTCAGAATAATATAAACATCAGCTGCTGATGCACAGAGCTTTGCTGACGGCAGATACCCTTATATTTACAGTTGATGAAGAGCGCGATCAGTCAGCTGAAAACTCCCTGAGCGCTGAAACAGGTACAGACACTCACATCGCTGCCAGCAAGTGAGTCTTCAGAACGCATCAACTCATGTTTACCGGTGTAAGGTAAAACTCAGCTGACGTAATGCACCTCGCTGACCTTTTACAGCCCGCAGAGACTCCCAACAGACTGAGCCGAAGAGCAGAGGAGACTTCTTACAACGTGAGTTCTGATTCAGACAGACTGCTTTTTTGCACTGCATTTCATTTATGAGTTGCACATCCAGTTTGACAGCTACATCCGCAATATGCTTAATGGTCCTGTGAAGTGCTTTGAAATGTAAATTTCTTTAGTCGAAATTTGACAATCTCAACTGAAACATGTAGGCAGGGCATATTTAATTCAATTCACCTTTATCTGTATAGCGCTTTTACAATGTAGATTCTGCCAAAGCAGCTTCACAGAGAAGATCATAGTGAATTGAAACAGAGTAGTTCAGTTTTCAGTGTTTAAGTTCAGTTTAGCTCAGTTCAGTGTGTTTTAATAATCACTACTAAGAGTCCAAACATTGAAGAGCAAATCCACCGATGCACAGCTTTACAGATCCTGAACCATGCGAGCTAGTGACGACAGCGGCGAGGAAAAAATTTCACCAAATGTCGAAAGTGAATAATTAAAAAACCAAGAGAGAAACCAGGCTCAGATGGGTTCGACCATTTCTCCACTGGCCAATCATCTTGTGCAGAGCTGCAGTCTAGGTGCCGGTGGCTGGAAGCTGGATCTTAGAGAAGACTCGTCTGTCCCTGGAGGATCACAGGAATCAGTCTCATGCTCTCCACTCCTCCATGAACACCACAGCAGCTGCTCAGGATACGGCCTGGTCCAGGATATGGAAACCTTGGGATCATCTCGTCACTGGTCTTGGATCAAATTAGTGGCACTGCATAGTCTGAGGGCATCGGGATGAGTATCCCTAGGTGGAAATAGAGAATAAAGAGAATAATAAGCGTAGCTGCTGTTCATAGTGTATATAAACAAGATGCAGAAACCTAAGTGCAGCACATTCATGTATCATACCGCTAAGTGATGCATTGAGTGTATGCTTTACTAAACAGGTCTTTAATCTAGTTTTGAACCGTGAGAGTGTGTCTGAGCCTCGGACGTTATCAGAGGGCTATTCCAGAGTTTGGGAGCCATAAACGAGATGGCTCGACCTCCTTTAGTAGACTTTGCTATTCTAGGTACTACCAGAAGCCCTGATTTTTGAGGTCTTAAAGAGCGAGTTGGATTGTAGCGAGACAGAAGGTTGGGTAGATAAACAGGAGCTAGATTATTTCAAGCTTTCTAAGAAGCAATATTGTAAATTCAATACGAAACCTATCAGGCAACCAGTGTAAGGAGGATAAAATTGGGGTGATATGATCATATTTTCTAGACCTGGTAAGAACTCTGGCTGCTGCATTTTGTACTAGCTGAAGTTTGTTAATAGAGGATGCTGAGCAGCCAGCAAATAGAGCATTACAGTAGTCCAGCCTAGAAGTCATAAAAGCATGGACTAGCTTTTCTGCATCTGTGATGGATAGCACACTTCGTAATATTTCTCAGATGAAAGAATGCAGTTTTTTTGTGAGATGGGATATATGATTTTCAAAAGTAGTGGCTCCTCCCTTTTATAGAAAACAGCCAATTAGCGTTTTGTTTTTAACACAGCTCTGTCAGTGAGAGTGGTTGAGCTCAATGGTCATCGAATGACAAGCAAATTGGAAGTGGTTGTGGCTAGAAGAGATTACAGAGAGAGGTTACAGAGAATTATTATTAGGGGAGAGTGGGGACAAAAGTAACGTAGAATAAAAGTAACGAAGCAATTTTCTTGAAGCCCTGACAACATTTGCTTTCCAGGCTGTAACAGTATATTCAGCATGCAGCCCATGATGGAGCTCCCGAATAGCAGCTGATTTTGGGACCGTGTACCACAGTTAGCTTCGAATTTCAGTTTTTAACCCTTGTGAGGTGTTCATATTTTGGTTACTCAGCCAGTGTTCATGGGTCTGGTGGACCCGGTGGAGTTTTGGTTTTCCAAATTAATACTATCAAACAATTTTATGTTAAATTACTCAACAAATGTTTACTTAATCCCAATTACAAGCCAAATGTACAGCAAACATGGTTAATGTTTCCCCTTTGCCTTTGTTAGATCATATTGATGAATTAATGTGCCTCTCGTATTTTTTTATTTATTTATTTATTTTTTATTAATGTTATGAAAAAAATAAAACCCGCAGATTTTTTTCGTATTGTTCCCACCATGGTCGTGGACATCATCATCAGAAGCTCCTCTCTCTTCCACAATCAATTGCAAGGCCCTCGCAGCAGATAATCTTTTCTTGATCAGTTGTGATAAGGAACCACACTGGCAAAGTCTTATTTGAAGTACTATGCCACAGATGGGACAGGTTATGAGAAAATAAAGCTTGGTTCCCGCAAGAGAGAGGGTAAAATGTGCGGGAATGTAAGAGCAGACAGTGTTGATAGTTGAATTTTCAACAATGTTGCAACTTTGTGCAGGAGCGGGAGGGGAAGAAAACAGCAGCACCAGACAGGAGGAAGACAGAGTGTAGGAACACTGGACCTACTCTTTCAACACTTTTATTAGGGTGCTTTCACACTCATTTGCCTGGACCGTACCCAAGTTCAATTGTCTCCCCCTGCCACCTCCTCGGTTGGTTTGTGTTCACTCTGTCTTTTTTCCTTCTGAACCCCGGTACGCTTGCGTCATCGAGCTGCTGTTTTGTTTTTGACCGTTGCTAGGTGACGGTTACGAAAGCAATCGACGAAATGGAAAGACGTCCGCACATCGCAGTTATTCTGCTTTAACTGAAGCTTTGGGTTTCGGACATACAGAAAGCGACTCGCGTCCATCTGCCGCAAACATATTATAAACATTCAGAACATCACACAGTGTCTGCAGAAGCTGTTTTTGGAGAAGACAAGCAGACATCACTGTGTATCACTGTGTTTGCCCTGGCTCAGTCCCGCGCGTGTCACCAAGGTACGAAACGTGACACACACACACAAAAACGAACGAACGTTATGAAAATTATAGTTTGTTGTACAGTTGGCGGTTCACTTCCGTGATTTGGTACAATGGCATTCTCATCAGAAGTGAACAGTATGCATAAACCGTACCCCAGACCACCTCTTTCAGGCGGATTCGGGAATGGTTCACGGGTGAGCACCCGAGTTCAGAAGACACGTTAACACTAGCTAAACGTACCGTACTATGACCTCAAACGAACCCGGTGCGGACCAAAAGCGCTAGTGTGAAAGCACCCTTAAGCCGCCTTTCCACTGCACACAACATTTGGACACGACTGTCGGAATACGCCCCCTAGTGGCAGCCGCACAGTATTTTCAGTGTTGTCGTGCACCACAGGGGAGAAGGTGATTCTCGTCGGTGTCCGAAATAAAGGAGGGCAAAAGCAAGAGCCTTTATTCTCTCTGCGTTTACATAGTTTAATGGATGAATGAATACTAGAAACTCATAGACCGCTAAAATATTGGAGGGAATGTGGAGACAACGTTTTCTATTTTATTACTTTCTTACTTACATTTATGAACAGAAAAGTTTTTCTTTAATATAGACTTTTTATAATTCAAAAAATAACCAAATAAATTCCTATTTCTCATCTCGCGCGCACGGATCTGCTTGGATAACACTGGAATACATCATATCCGGTCGGCAGGTCGCATACAGTCTAGTCGCAGGAGTTCAAATATTTCAACGGATCCGCAGCTCAATTCGGATCCAAATTTTATGCATATGGAGATGATCGGAACTCAACGCAGCTCCCGGACTGCTCTCCATTGGAAATGAATGACTTCCGGTCTGTCGCTTGTCGTTTGTCGTGTGCAGTGGAAAGGCGGCTTTAGACCTGGGTCTAGTGGACCCGAACACCTGGTATGTAATGTAAATGTGTGGGGGGTAGGGATGGAAAGATTAATCGATATGTATCGATACGCGGTCATGCGCGTGCACGATGCGAGTGCATCGGTTGAGCAGCAGAGGATGAATGAAATTTTGGAAGCAAATCAAGATGCATCGGTTTTTGCGAGATGCATCGGTTTTTTTCCAAGATACAGCTTATATTTTTAATATAGAATGTATTTTTTATTTATTAACAAGTGTTGTCAACCTGTTTTTGGCGCATAATTTAATTGACCTACATAAAGTAAGCCTAACGGATTTGCGGATGTGTACACTCACACTACAACTTAGTGTATCAGGTGTGCGGATGAAGCTAGTGGTGCGCCCTCAGAAAGCGCGAGAAGCAAAACAAACATTTTATTCCCCACTGAGTTTTAAATCTAAAGTATGGCAACATTATGGATTTAAGGATGGACGACATGACAGGACAGATGCAATTTGCAAAAGTGTGCCGCGCATCTGTAAAATACGCGGGCAGTACGACTAATCTGAAATCTCACTTGAAGCGGCGCCACGGTGTTGTTGTGAAAGCTCCATCTTTCAGTGGACCTCTATTCTGCCGCCCTATGCGCGGATATAACTGAGGACGCGCCGGTGTCGCGGACCTCTATTCTGCCGCCCTATGCGCGGATATAACTGAGGACGCGCCGGTGTCGCGGACCTCTATTCTGCCGCCCTATGCGCGGATATAACTGAGGACAAGCGGGCGCTGATGGAGGTGTCGCGGACATAACTGAGGATGCGGGTGTTGCGGACGCCGCCCTCTCTATACTGCCGCCCTAGGCAGCCGCCTAGGTCGCCTCTATGGACGTGCCGGCCCTGTTCATCTGCAAAGATATTCAGCCTAGTGTCACGGAGAACGAAGGTTTTGAACACCTCCTTCTGTTAATTTTTATTTAATAATAATAATAATAATATTAATAATAATAATGATAAAAATAATTGGGTGTCACGGTGGCACAGTGGGTAGTTTGACCACCTCACAGCAAGAAGATTGCTGGTTTGTTATATTTTTATTAGCCTGTTGTTTACAGTGACAGTGATGTTTCAAAGCAGCATAACACTGCTAGTTCATGACCTTAAGTTTTGAATAATCAGTGGCAAAATATCTTTGTAAAACTTGTTTTCATAGTTGAAAAGTTAAATCACAATTCTTGTTGTGCAATGCTAAATTTATTTATGTTGAAAGAGTGCAAATATATACATATTTTTTAATATATATTGCACTTATACATTCTGTTTATCTTGAAAATACTTAAATAATATGTGCTATATGTTCTAAAATGGCCCTCTACTGTAAACTGACACTCTGGCTCTGAGAGAAGAGCCAGTTTGTAAAAAAATTCTTGGTTTTGCTTGGTTAATAAATAATCAAACTCATTCAATGGCACAGCATCCTCTTTCACATAATCTCATAAACTTGATCTAATAAGTTAGTGCTGAAATATCGCATCGTATCGTGATATGGGTGTGAATCGTATCGTGTTGCATCGCAATATGTCACAAATGTATCGCTAATATATCGGATCGTATTCTTTGTATCGAGATGCGTATCGGATCGGCATTATAGCTTAGATGCCCAACCCTAGTGGGGGGAGGTACGTTATGCGATTTTTGAAAGTTTGTTCGGATTTATGTTCTTCACAGAAAATAAGCCAAAGCCAATGAATTTCAGATTGAAAAAGTAATTTGTTTAATTTTTGTTTTGAAAAAAACTGAAAACGGGTCTCAGAGACCCGAACACCATACAAGGATTAAGTGTAAAAAGTAAATTATTGTAGTGGTTCTTTTTTCCTTATTACAAGTTGTGTTTCTTTTTTCATGCATCACATGCATTCAGATGTTTTAAAAAATATGTACATTGAAAAAAAATATGTAAAATTATAGAAAATGGTAACATTTTGCACTGTTGTATTGCTTTTTTTTGTGATTAAGTTTTTTATTGATTATGATTTTACATGTGAGTGGTTGTAGCATGTAGCATCTTTACAATTTCCTTTCAATAAACAAGATCCACTCCTCAACCACACCCCCCCCCCCCCCCCCCAAATCACCCAACCCACCCCCCAGCGGTGCCAAAGTCCATGCCATCCCACAATAGCATTGCAATCAAGACAAATAACAGAAAAAAAATGTACATATAGACATCCATCTACATACCCATACACTAGCAAAAGTAAATACATATTCACACAAGCTATCAGAGATTTAGATATTCAAAGTTGTTGCACAATGTCTATTATCCATAAATCTTTCTGCCAGTTTGTTCGCAGCTATTTTCCACGCATCAAGAGTTGAGGCTCTAGCTTTATTAATTCTGGCTGTTGAAAGTTCTAACAATACTATATCATAAAACTGATATAGCCACTGCCGAATAGATAAAGAATGCGGAGGGAGCCATCTTTGCGCAATTATCTTTTTTGCAGCGGTTAGTCCTGCCAACAAGACCTTTCTTTGTCGCTCTGTCAAACCCAAACTGGAATCATCATTTAAAAGTAACACAACTGGTTGCACTGGTATATCTTTTTCTATAATTTCAGATAATATTGATGAGGTTTTTTTCCCAAAACTCATACACTTTTTCACATTCCCACACCATATGTATAAATGTTCCAACCTGTTGGTGAGAACAAAACTGCAATTGGGGCTAGGGGACTGTTGTATTGCTTTTGAAACATTTGATGGAGCTGAAATTTAAAATGAAATGCAGTTTAATTGTTTTGTTTTGCAAAAATAAAAGACAAAATATGTTTCCAGTGAACATTATCAAGGTCATAGTCAGATATATTTAAAATAAACAATATTAAGCAAGTAAATCTAGCAAGTATTGTTGTCACTCTTGACCCACCCGTGTGTTAATTTCGTAACTTTGTGGTTATATTGGAAAATAACAGCTGATTTTGATAGAGCGCTGTTGTGAGTTAGTAACCACAGCAACATATATTTCTGCTAAAAACAGATGGAGGTTGTTTTAGGGCAGGGGTGTCCAAAGTCGGTCCTGGAAGGCCACTGTCCTGGAGAGTATAGCGCCAACCCTAATCAAACACACCTGAACCAGCTAATCAAGCTCTCACTACATATATCAGAGCAGGGGTCACCAACCTTTATGAAACTGAGAGCTACTTCTTGGGTACCGATTAATGTGGAGGGCTGCCAGTTTGATAAACACTTCTCACATAACAAATTTGCTCAATTTACTTTTAATTATACTGTATGTTTTTGGTAATAATTAATGATATTCATCCATGTGAAGACATTGATCATGTTAATGAATCTCACAAAAGTTATCAGCAATGATTTAACAGGGTAGGAAATACCCTGCATTTAATGTATCAATGGGCAACACTTTATTTTTATATATCTCTGCAAATATTTACATTTTTAAATGATTACTTCTATATTAGATGAAGCTTACGGGTAAGTGACGCTATGGTGAGCTTATTTTAACACATGTGATCCTCATGTTGGTGACCCCTGTATTAGAGACTCACTGGCAGATGTGTTGAAGCAAACTGGAGCTAAACTAAACAGGACACGGGCCATCCAGGACCAAGTTTGAACCCCCCTGTCCTAGGGGATGGGCAGTGGACTGCTTAATTGTTTTATGTTTAATCAACTTAAAATTATAAAAACCATGAAGTCAACTTTATTTATTTGAGTTGGGACAACATGAAGGGATCACGTGGAAGCCAGCATTTTCTTTCATCACAGCGTATTAAAACAATTTATATTATTATGAAATGCGACCATAACCATCAAACCAGAATCTTGTCTTCATTTCAGAGAACCGTATCATGGTATAAACCAGTGGTTCTCAAACTTTTTTCATCAAGTACCACCTTCAAAAAAAAAAGTCTTTCCAAGTACCAACAAAATGAGTAGTATTGAAATACAGTAGCGTAGTAGGCCCAGTAAAGCAGCTAAAACTCTGCACAGTTAAAAAAACGTGGCAGATTACCTCAGAAATATAGGTTATATGTCATATATTGCATATTATATACATAATTTTTGATAAATTTTGAAATATATGTAGCATGTACATGACATATTTCCTTCCTCCGCGTACCACTATTGGGAAGCCCGCGTACCACTAGTGGTACACGTACCACAGTTTGAGAACCACTGATATAAACCATTAAATGAGTAAATATTTAAATAAATAAGTAAATATTTTTTTCTCCTTCAGACTGCTGTGATTTGACATTCGACCCAAACACCGCGGACTCTCTCCTCAGACTTTCTGAAGACCAGACTGAAGTGATGAGCGCCGCCGAGCCTCAACTGAACGCAGATCAGCAGGAAATCTTCAGCGGAGGATCTCATGTCCTGTGCAGTGAGTCTCTGTCAGGACGCCGGTACTGGGAGGTGGAGTGGAGCGGTGCTGTTTCCATTGCTCTCTCCTACAAATCCATTCACACCACTAGAGCCAATCCAGATCAGAAACAGGGATGCAACTCCACATCCTGGAGTCTGGATGTTTCAGATTCTCGCTGTGTGTTCAGACACAGCAAATTAAGTGTAGAAATACACACTCCGGTGGCACACAGAGTCGGTGTGTTTCTCGATCACAGAGCAGGATCTCTGGTGTTTTATAGTGTTTCTCTGGTTGATGGCACGATGGTTTTACTGCATCGAGAGCAGACCGTCTTCACTCAGCCTCTTTATCCTGGGTTCTGGGTTGGACTGGGATCCGCTTTAAAACTCTGTCAAACTTTTAGCTTTTCTGCTTAGTGATGTACTGAGCTCTAACTAACATCCTTTGAAATGAGCATTATTTTATTATTTTTATTCAATGTTTGACCAAAGTCCTTTTAGGGCAGGTTATTTCACTCTGCAGCCATCTTTGAAACACCACTCAGGAATTCTATCTGAATGGGGAAACATCAAATTCTCCAAAATTGCTTGCCAAGCTTATGGTTAAATTTCAAATTAGGAGTCACCAATAAAATTAAACAACAACCGTGTCTTTAGTTTCATTTCTAAATGTTCGAATCACACCAAATCTGCAGAAACTCACGTCTGGACCAAGCCCCTCTCCTGGAGAATCATCAATCTATAGCAGGCGTCACCAACCCTGTTCCTGGAGATCGACCTTCCAGCAGATTTCCGTTGCAACCCATATCAAACACACCTGCCTGTAATTATCAAGTGCTGTTCAGGTCGTAGTTAATTGGTTCAGGTGTGTTTGATCAAGGTTGGAGCTGAAGTTTGCAGGAAGGTCGATCTCCAGGAACAGGGTTGAGCACCACTGATCTATAGCAATCGCTTATTGGCTCTTGTAGTAGAAGGCGGGGCTTCATTTGCCATGCTGACCGCTACACTTTTCCCCATTTAAAACTATCCGAGTGACACGTCTTGTGCATTCTCTACGCTTGCTAAGTTGTGACGTATCGGTGACGTATGGAATACGGTTTACGGGTATCACATATATATAAAGTATCACTTTCTGGCCATCTGATATTAGGCATGGATATATATATATATATTGCTATCCTGATTTTTGAAAGTATTAAAGCGCTTTGTAAATGTTTATCACGATTCGTTGAATCTCCCCATTCAGTTTGATGGAGCGCTTGGACCCAGAAGCCACTTCGCATGACGTCACACTTAAGAGGATGGTCTTTGATTTGATGAAATGCACCTAAAAAATGAAGAAGGTGGGGCATAGGGTAGCCCTTCCCCTTTTAAAAACAGTCAATAGTGTTTTGTTTTCATCACAGCTCTGTGCTGTTGCCAATTGCTTGCCAAGCTTATGGTTAAATTTCAAGTTAGGAGTCACCAATGAAATTAAACAACAACTGTGCCTTTAGTTTCATTTCTAAATGTTCGAATCACATCAAATCTGCAGAAACTCACGTCTGGACCAAGCCCCTCCCCTGGAGAATCGTCAGTCTATAGTAGGCGTGACCAACCCTGTTCCTGGAGATCGACCTTCCTGCAGATTTCAGTTGCAACCCATATCAAACACACCTGCCTGTAATTATCATGTGCTGTTCAGGTCGTAGTTAATTGGTTCAGGTGTGTTTGATCAAGGTTGGAGCTGAACTTTGCAAGAAGGTCGATCTCCAGGAACAGGGTTGAGCACCTCTGATCTATAGCAATCGCTTATTGGCTCTTGTAGTAGAAGGCGGGGCTTCATTTGCCATGCTGACCGATATGCTTTTCCCCATTTAAAACTTTCCAAGTGACACGTCTTGTGCATTTTCTCCGCTTGTAAAGTTGTGACGTATTGGTGGCGTATGGAATACGGTTTATGAATCCAAGCTGCTACTCATTTGAATTTAGAAAATATTCGTTTATGGCCACTTCTTAGTCCTATCACACATTGTAAAAAATGAATTTTACATAAAATCATAGTGTACACAAAAACAGAAAATGTTAACAATATATATATATAAAGTATCACTTTCTGGCCATTTGATATTAGGCATGAATAAATATATATATTGATTTTTGAAAGTATTAAAGCGCTTTGTAAATGTTTATCACGATTCGTTGAACCTCCCCATTCAGTTTGATGGAGCGCTTGGACCCAGAAGCCACTTCGCATGACGTCACACTTAAGAGGATGGTCTTTGATTTGATGTAATGCACCTAAAAAATGAAGAAGGTGGGGCATAGGGTAGCCCTTCCCCTTTTAAAAACAGTCAATAGTGTTTCGTTTTTATCACAGCTCTGCCAAGTCCCTTTATGGCAGGTTATTTCACACTGCAGCCATCTTTAAAACACCACTCAGAAATTCTGTCTGAATGGGGAAACATCAAATTCTCCAAAATTGCTTGCCAAGCTTATGGTTAAATTTCAAGTTGGAGTCACCAATAAAGTTAAACAACAACCGTGTCTTTAGTTTCATTTCTAAATGATTGAATCATGCAAAATCTGCAGAAACTCACGTCTGGTCCGAGCCCCTCCCCTGGAGATTCATCAGTCTACAGCGATCAATGATTGGCACCTGTACTAGAAGGCGGGGCTTCATTGGCCATATTGACCACTACACTTTATTTAAGTGACACTTCTTGTGCATTCTCTCCGCTTGTTAAGTTGTGACGTATCGGTGACGTATGGAATACTGTTTCTGTGACCAAGCTGCTACTTATTTGAATTGAGAAAGTATTCATTTATAGCCTTTTTAATTATATCACACATTGTGAAATCAAATTTTATATAAAATCACAGAGTACACGTCAGTCTCTGGGCTTGCTACATCACAAAAAACTTTAAACATTTATTATCACCATGCGTCGAGTCTCCCCATACAGTTTAATATAGTGCTTTGACCCGAAAGCCGTTTCGCGTGACGTCACACTTAACAAAAGGAAAGTCTTTAGTTTGACGAAATGCAACTAAAAAAAAATAAATAAATGAAGAGGGCGGGGCACATGGTAGCCCCTCCCCTTTTGAAAAAAAAAAAAACTGCCAATAGTGTTTGGTTCTTAATCACAGCTCTGCCAAGACCCTTTTAGGGTGACCAAGCTGCTTGCAATTTTTAGGGTCCAAGCTGCTACTTATTTGAATTAAGAAAATATTTGTTTATGGCCAATTGTCTCCCCATACAGTTTAATATAGCAATTGGACTTGAAAGCCGCTTCGCCTGACGTCACACTTAACAAGAGGATGGTCTTTGGATTGATGTAATGCAACTAAAAAAATTAAGAGGGTGGGGAATATAGTAGCCCCTCCCCTTTTAAAAACACACCAATAGTGTTTAGTTTTTATAACAGCTCTGCCAGTGAGTGCTTGAGCTCAAGTGCATCTAATGAAAAGCAAATGATAAGCATTTCGAAAGGGGCGGGGCATGTCAGATACTAGAGAGCAGCTGATTGGTAATGATTTGATGAGAAACTGAAGTATGAGGTAATGTGAAAAAAAAATCATTGATCCATTTACTCAGAAGTGCAGAACCGCAAGCGTTGAATGTTTAAATCAGGTTTATATTTTTTAAATGCTCATGTTGTCACTGTTTTGGAGCACACTGGCTTATAGTAACTAACATCTTAAACACTTTAATTTCACAGGACTTTTAAAGCAAGACACTGCGGGTGAGCAGGTTTTAAAAGAACAACAAACAGTTATTAAGCTTTTCAATTGGTTGATCACATTAAGAATGGCAAACTTTGTGTATTTTTCTAGGGTTTCTGTACTTTGCTAAATATGTGGTTTAAATATCCAAATAAAGCATTTATTAAATATGCACCACTTTATATACATTAAAAGTACAGTCAAGTGCTTTGAAATGTGCCTTTTCATTCGATGTTTAATGTAATCTCAACTGAAACAGTGAGAGGGTGGGGCAGTGTAGCTCCTCCCCTTTAAACAAAATAGCATTTTATTTTACGCACAGCTCTGCCAGTGATGGTGGTTGAACTCAAGCGCATCAAATGAAAAGGAAATGAAAAGCATATTAAAGGAGGCAGGGCAAGTCACATACTAGAGAACAGTTGACTAGTCAGAAGATTTGATGAAAAAAAAAAAATAATCGTTGATACATTTATGCGGAAGTGCAAAACTGCAAGCTTTGGATGTTGAGATCTGCTTATGTTTTCTAAACACAAACTGTCACTGTTTTAGAGCACACTGGCTTAAAGATATCCTTAAAACTAATAAACACTAACATCTAAAGCACTTTTAATTTCACAGGAACTTTAAAATCTGCAGGTGAACCGGTTTAAAAATGAAGTTAGTATGCTTCTGAATCAGGTTGATCACATGAAGAATTGCAAACTTTGTTTGTGTAGTTTTTTTTTTTTTTTTTTAAATGTTGAAATATGCAAACATCATCATTTAAATTATTTAACAGGCACCTTTTTTTTTTTACTTTTTCCACTGTTCAATTTATTTGGTGTTATTAAAGCCTGCTTCAAAAGCTTGTTAATTTTTTTTTAATAAAAGGATTTTACAGGAGGGATTTAGGGAATCTTTTTTCACTCTATAACTCCATATGCAAACAGCCAAAAATAAATAAATAAAAATTATATATATATATATATATATATATATATATATATATATATATATATATATATATATATATAATTTTTATATATTAAAAAGTTTATTTTATTTACATCTATATACATATATATATATATATATATACAATAATATATATATATATATATATATATATATATATATATATATATATATATATATATATATATATATATATATATATATATATATTTTTAGCATACTTCATTTGATTTCCTAGATAACTGATTACATTAGCCCCTTTCACACAGTAATACTGGTAAATATCTATAAAATTTACAGCAGGACATTACTGGTAAATTCAAATATGTACAAATGAATGTCAAATAATAATATTGACTGTAGTGTAGCCTAAAATGAAGCTTTTTGCCAGATTTTAAACACATTTAGGCTACATGGACCACTTTAGTTTAAAATGGCAAAAACAATTTAATTTCATTTGCTTTGTATTTAAAGTCAATCTATGTATTTATATCCTCTGTAAGGGAAGGGTTCCATTTATAAAACTCATCTCAGTTACTCTGTGTCTTAACTCGATTACAATTTCAGTTAAGACGCACATTTCAGAGAGGGGATGCATTTTAAGGCAGGGTAACACCAAAACTAATTTATTGGTATTTTAATCCCTTTCCGGAAAGTTGCCTGTAATTTTCCATAAAAGTTTGTATGTGTGAAAGGGGTTAATAACAACTGCAAAAAATAATTTTATATAAATTTACTATAGTAATGTACTGTATGGTTTTCCAAAATGTTAAAATATGCAAATTAGCACGAATCTATTTAAATGTCTCATTTAGATATAGCACAACATTTTTAAGGCTCACAGATCCGTCTTGTGGTGGGTGAGGCATGATCCAACACCTAAAAAGGGGGAAAAGCAAGCGGAGACTCCAGCGGCTGGTCCGTGGTCCAATCATAAATAATCAGTAACACCTGTATTTTCTAGTAAATGGGCCGGAGAGACCTTCATAAGAGAAGAAACAGCTGGGAGAGGAGAGCCTGACAACACACACACGCACACAAGTGCCCCGCACATAGAAATAAATAAAGATTTGTTCTTACCTGATATCACTGACCCCGTCTTCTTTGTCCCACTTTACTACACATCTTAAGCTTCATTAATACGTTCACAAAACAAACCATGCATGA